TGGCTCTCACAGTCAGGAAGTTCTTTTTAATGTTCAGATGGAATCTCCTTTCTTGTAGTTTGAAGACAGGCATCTTTATATAGACTGGCATCTCAACTACTTCATATAGTCCTAGTCTGGCATCTTTTTCAGCAACCTCCCAATTAAAGAGACAGCATGGAACATTTTCTTTCCCTGGCAAGACAGTGTGTGGGCGTGGCATATATCTTGTAAGCCACTCTGAGTTCCCTTCGAGGTGAGAAGGGCATCATATAAATGTTGTAAATAAATAAATATTTTCTTTCCCTGGCAAGTCAGTGTGAGAGCTGATCAAATGTGAACTACACATGATTTATTTTACAACCCACCACACCTTATGGACACCATAAATTGGAAACACATCCCCTGAGTGTTTAGAATAAGAATTATTAAAGGGTAAACTTGCTAATTTATATGCTTTCTTTCATGTTTTGCCTGTTTTTACTGCAACGTGGTGGTGAAAACCCAACAATAACGCAGATCTGATCATGAAAAACAGCACATAGTAAACAATAATAGGTACATTATTTCCTAGAGTTTTCTCCGTCTGTTTTTGGATACCAGAAGGCCAGGGGAAAGCGCGAACGCAGTCCCCCACTACCACAAATTATGCAGTCGAGTTTCCCGCATTTGGGGAAATCGCAGGGGTCAGCACACCCGGAGTGCAATGGATGAGCCTCGCCCTGGGAAAACCTCCTTCGTGATCAAGGTGTCTCCCCTGCCAGGTAAGTATGCTTTCTCCCTCGTCCCCTGCAAACCCCAACCGCGCGGAACATACTCCAACACACGGCGGGTACAATCTCGGCCTTGCCCTCAACGCCTCCTTTCTGTCTTTCTTGAAGGAAACCCCACGCCCTCCCAAGCCGCGGGGCGAGATTCCCCTCCTCCGGCGTCTCTGGATCGCGAGAGACCCCGGTTTGCGCTCTCCCGTAATGCCCGTCGTGACATCTTATTTGCATCCCGCCCGCGAAGCCCCGCCCCTCCCGAGCAGAGATTCGGAAGGGAGACAAAGAAGAGTGGAGGGGGCGCCCCCTGGCGGCAGGGAAAGAGGGAGGCAGGTTTAGTTTCAATGAAAGCTTTCAGAGGGACTGGCATCTCAACCGCTTTATATAGCCAAGTGGTTCTCAACCTTCCTAATGCCGTGGCCCCTTAATACAGTTCCTCATGTTGTGGTGATCCCCAACCATAAAGTTATTTCTCTTGCTACTTCATAACTGTTATGAATTGTAATGTAAATATCTGATATGCAGGATGTATTTTCATTCACTGGACCAAATTTGGCACAAATACCCAATACTGGTGCGGTTGGGGGGACTGATTTTGTCTTTTGGGATTTATAGTTCAACTGCAATCAAAGAGCATTCTGAACTCCACCAATGATGGAATTGAACCAAACTTGGCACACAGGACTACCACGACCAACAGAAAATACTGGAAGGATTTAGTGGGCATTGACCTTGAGTTTGGAAGTTGTAGTTCACCTACATCCAGAGAGCACTGTGGACTCAAACAATGATGGATCTGGACCAAACTTGGCATAGATACTCAATATGCCCAAATCTGGTGCAGTCTGGGGGAATATAGATATTTGAGAGTTGTAGTTGCTGGGATTTATAGTTCACCTACAATCAAAGAGCATTTTGAACTCTACCAACAATACAATTGGGCCAAATTTTCTACACAGAACCCCCATGACCAACGGAAAATACTGTATTTTCTAATAGTTTTCAGCGACCCCTCTGACACCCTTTATGACCCTCCCAGGGGTCCCGACTTAAATAACTTAAATGTGGCGATCGGTAATTAGGGTTAAGAAGAAAGGTCAAGTTATTGCTCTTTACATTTTTATTAGTACCTGACTTCAGTACAATACAGATTATCCCAGGTATGGGCAAACTTTGGCCCTCCAGGTGTTTTGGACTCCAACTCCCACCATTCCTAACAGCCTCAGGCCCCTTCCTTTTCCCCCTCAGCCGCTTAAGCGGAGGGCCAAAGTTTGCCCAGGCTTGCCTTAGGATCACCATGAATGGGTAACAACTCGAAGGCACACAACAACAACAACAACAACAACAACAGATTACATACTCTCCAACATATCACAGATGAAAACAAGGACACTAGTGGGCAAGCCACGCCAGAGTGAGGTCGAAAATTATGAATGCGTGTCTCGACTCCTTTGAAGTCATGCCAACACGAGACGCGCAGCTATTCTATAATATACACTATATAGAAACATATAAGGTTTATGGAAGACCATTGGTCCAAAACATTTGGTTGGGACAATCAAAGGAAACAGGTGACCGGATGAAAGTCTTGTTTACACTTAGGTTTAGTTGAGACTGGGAAATTCAATATTTCTTACTTTAGAACAAAGGGCTAAGGGTTTTTATGCAAGAATTTTTATAAGGACACTTTATAGGTTTTGGGCCGGGCTGTAGCACAGCTGGTTAATCACTAGCAGCAATAAATCGCTGCCAAACGGAAGGTGGCAAGTTCGAAGCCTGAGTTGGGTTTGAGTTCCCGACTGTTAATAGTCCAGTTTACTGTTCACCTAAGCAGTTTGAAAACAGCTGAGCTGTGAGTAGAGAAATTAGGGACCACTTAAAGTGGAGAGGTTAATTTATGACACCATAAAAAATGCTGGAGATCAAAGAGCAAAGAGGAAATGCTACGATCAAAGGCTCGGCATTATAGTGGATGAAGCAACAGCTCCCCCCATGGCCAGAATCGTGCAACCTCCAGGAGCTGAATTTGGGGGGGGGGGGGGGAAGCTGAATTACTTCTATCTGTCTGTATGTTTTGTATGTCTAAAAACGGCACTGAATGTTTACTGTGTATGTGTGCATTGTGATCCGCCCTGAGTCCCCTTCGGGATGAGAAGTGCGGAATATAAATACTGTAAATAAATACATAAATAAATAAATAAATTGTAGAGATCATTCTATTCTCATAAAGAATGTCACCAATCCTGCTGTTTGTTAACAAATTAAGTACTACTTTTCTTTGAAACCAGTGGTTAGATGACTGGAAAACCCGACAATGAGGAAGAACACAGAAGTTTGGAGTCTTTTGGGAAGGACAAGATTCCACACTTTCTTCTCCTCCCTGATGAGTTCATTGTTGTTGTTTGTGTTTTGATTTCATTTATTGTATTGCATTGTTGGGCTTGGCCTTGGTAAGCTGCCCCGAGTCCCCATTGGGGAGATGATGGCGGGGTACAAATAAAGATTATTATTATTATTATTATTATTATTATTATTATTATTATTAATTGGGCGAACATTACTTTTGCACTTTGAATGACGTTTGCGGCAACTGTAGTAAACTAATTCCACTTCTACACTGCCATATAAAATCCAGAGTATCTGCTTTGAACTGGATTATATGTCAGTGTAGACCAGTGGTTCTCAACCTGGGGTCCCCTGATGTTTTTGGCCTACAATTCCCAGAAATCCTAGCCAGTTTACCAGCTATTAGGATTTCTGGGAGTTGGAGGCTAAAAACATCTGGGGACCTCAGGTTGAGAACCACTGGTGTAGACTCAGATAATCCAGTTCAAAGCAGATAATGTGGATTATCTGCTTCGATAATCTGTGTTGTATGGCAGTGTAGAAGGGGCTTCGGAAAAGGAAGAGTGATTGACTGGAACATTTTAGAAGCAGGTGGAAAAGAAGAACAACAAGAGGATTAATTGGATCAGTTGGAAGGGTATGGGATTAGATACTGTATCCAAAATCCTTTCATCTTTTGCGGACAGATCTTTGCAATTTAAGAATGCTAAACTGAAATAAATTAGATCATTCTAAATCTGGACACCAAAATGGAGCACTAAACCATATATTTCCTGTAAGGGTGAAAACCTGGATGCTTCAGTAGACTCAGAAGACACGGTAATTTTGGGAAAAGTGGAGAAAACATGGTATACTTTTCTCCCTCTGTCACAGCAACACACTGAAATTTACATTTGCGGGTAAACATAAAGCACACCTTTTAACAAGATACATTCAAATGATAAGCACCCCATAATTGTTTCAGTATTGCAACCATGTTTACACTAAACCACAGCAAAGCTCAATTGGTATAATACACCCTATGCATCTGAATAAATAGGCATGATATTTATTCTTGGTCATGGAATACTGTCTCCAATTCTGGTTATAACCTCTGAGGATGCTTGCCATAGATGCAGGCGAAACGTCAGGAGAGAATGCTTCTAGATCATGGCCATATAGCCTGAAAAACCTACAACAACCCATAAGGAATTTGTTCCAAGAATGTGTGTGGCTACAAGGTCATGGACAATAGCAAGGTCTTTTGAAATGAAGGACTTGTGGCCCAAGACCATAAAGTCACATCAGGGGACCTCAAAAATGCCTATCAAGGTCATATTTTGTCAGTCATGGATATATGAAACTACAGATCCCAAATAGATACAAAAGTTGTATTTTGTGTGTGCATGTTGTATGTGTATGGAGGATAATACTGGCTATAGAACCGTTAAGGCCCAGCAGAGAGAAATAGGGGCTCTTCCACACAACCCTATAGCCCAGAATATCAAGGCAGAAAATCCCACATTATCAGAGTGCGGACTCTCATAACCCAGCTCAAAGCAGATATTGTGGGATATTCTACCTTGATATTCTGGGATATAGGGGTGTGTGGAAGGGCTGTAGGAAGTTCCTGGCTTCCACTATGTATTTTATTCCAGAAAGTATTAGAAGTATTGATGGTACTATGTTCTTATAGACCCCTTCTACACTGCCATATAAAATCCAAATAATCAGCTTTGAACTGGACAATATGGCAGTGTACACTCATATAATCCAGTTCGAAGCAAATAATGTGAATTATCTGCTTTGATAATCTAGATTATACGGCAGTATAGGAGGGGCCTTAGTAAATTCAGGTTTCATCTTGTGGTCATGAAGCCAGGCATGCAGTTGACGTTTCACTTTTTATTCTGATCCCATTTGCCTCAAAAGACCACTCCATCCCACACTGACATGCCAGGCACCATGATAACAGTATATTAATCTTAGAGTAATTCCTTGGGGCAATTGGAGGATTTAAAAGCATCTGGAATCTCACTATCCAGTTTACAAATTATTTTGTAAATTGGCTTTTTCCAGGAAGGGTCTAAGTCCTTTCCTTCCCTGACGGCATTAAAGAACTCCTGAAGGGTCAGGCTGGCAACATCCAGAAAAGCATCAGGAACCTGCCAAGAAAGAGAATAAGAGGTTGGAGATATGAAACATACCATTTGGCACTTGCACATGTATCATACTAGTTTGAATAGAGCAGCATTTCTCAACCTGAGGGGATGGTGAGGGGACGTCAGAGGGGTTCACCAAAGACCATCAGAAAGCATAGTATTTTCTGTTCGCCGTGGGAGTTCTGAGTGGAAAGTTTGGCTCAATTCTTTCATTGGTGGGGTTCAGAATGCTCTTTGATTGCAGGCGAACTATAAATCCCAGCAACTACAACTCCCAAATATCAAGGTCTATTTTCCCCAAACTCCACTAGTGTTCACATTTGGGAATATTGAGTATTCATGCCAAGTTTTGTCCAGATCCATCATTGAGTCCACAGTGCTCTCTGGATGTGGGTGAACTACAACACCCAAACTCAAGGTCAATGCCCACTAAACCCTTCCAATATTTTCTGTTGGTCATGGGGGTTCTGTGTGGGAAGTTTGGCCCAATTCTTTCATTGGTAGGGTTCAGAATGCTCTTTGATTGTAGGCGAACTATAAATCCCAGCAACTACAACTCCCAAATATCAAGGTCTACTTTCCCCAAACTCCACCAGTGTTCACATTTGGGCATATTGAGTATTTATGCCAAGTTTGGTCCAGATCCATCATTGAATCCACAGTGCTCTCTGGATGTGGGTGAACTACAACTCTCAAACTCAAGGTCAATGCCCACTAAACCCTCCCAGTATTTTCTGTTGCTCATGGGAGTTCTGTGTGCCACAGTTGGTTCAATTCCATCATTGGTGGAGTTCAGAATGCTCTTTGATTGTTAGGTGAGCTATAAATCCCAAATGACAAAATCAATTTCCCCCCAACCCTACCAGTATTCAATTTTGGGCATATAGGGTATTTGCACCAAATTTGGTCCACTGAAAGAAAACACATCCTGCATATCAGATATTTACATTATGATTCATAATGGTAGCAAAATTACAGTTATGAAGTAGCAACGAAAATAATATTATGGTTGGAGGTCACCACAACATGAGGAACTGGATTAAAGGGTTGTGGCATTAAGAAGGTTGAGAAACACTGGAATAAAATAAGGTGTCCTTTCTCTTGAATGTTCAGGTCATAGAATAGCAAGGTACACCTTATGTCATAGGGAGCTGTTCAAAAATAAAGGCCATGCTCTCAGAATAAGTCATAACCCTTGAAATGCGGAGTACTTGTTAGGGGTAGGCTCACCTCGAAATCATTCCCTTTGTTGTAATGCACATTCAGTATCCGGAAGAGCTCTGAATCTCTGGTCACAAGGAGGTGGCTGGGATCCAACACGCCTTCCACGAGGGCTTGCCTGGCACACTTTTCCATCTGGATGTAATAAAATTCACGGAAGTTGCTAAACCACTTGATCAGCTGGGAAGTGATGCAGCGGGTGAACTGTGGAAAGAGCGTGGATCAGTCATTGCCATGGAGTAGCATCTCCTTTCTGAGTGGAGGAGGCTTTGTGCGGAGAAAATACAGCTACTCCCCATTACTAGTACCGCCACCCATTCATACAATCATAGAATCATAGAGTTGGAAGAGACCTCATGGGCCATCCAGTCCAACCCCCTGCCATTCATTGTAATTGTGTGTCTTTATCCACTGCAAACCAACATAACATTTTGCATGGACATTTTAATTGATTCCAGTGGAATCAAGGAAGAGTCTTGCAGCACTGAAAGGAATTGAGTCGTTTGTTATGACTTAAGCATATATGAAGAAGTAAATTCCAATCTACAGGAATAATGGGTCCCTCCACACTATATCATTTTACTTTAACAGCCACAATTCTGTCCTATGAGATCCTGGGATGGGCAATTTGAAGAGAAGAATTTACAATTCTCAGCCAGAGAGATCTACTGCATCTCCAAACTACAAACTCCAGGATGCCTTAGGATGCAACTATGACAAATCAAGTGGTACCAGGAGCTACAATTACGTGACAGGAAAAAAGCTGTGCCATAATAACTTGGTTTGTCTTTAAATGTCAAGTTAAAATGCCATAACATACATGTGTCAAACTCAAGGACCGTGGACAGAATCTAGCACCCCTAGTCATTTTATGTGGTCCTCCATATGTGGAACTACAACTACAACTTGACAAGCTGGATTGTGTCCAGAGGAGGGTGACCAAAATGATCAAGGGTCTGGAGAACAAGCCCTATGAGGAGTGGCTTAAAGAGCGGGGCTTGTTTAGCCTTCAGAAGAGAAGGCTGAGAGGAGACATGGTGGCCATGTATAAATATGTGAAGGGAAGTCACAGGGAGGAAGAAGGAGCAAGCTTGTTTTCTGAGACTAGGATACAGAACAATGACTTTAAACTACAGGAAAGGAGATTCCACCTGAACATTAAGAACTTCCTAGCTGTGAGAACTGTACAGCAGTGGAACTCTCTGCCCTTGCGTGTGGAGGCTTTTAAACAGAGGCTAGATGGCCATCTGTTGGGGGTGCTTTGAATGCTATTTTCCTGCTTCTTTGCAGGGGGTTGGACTAATGGCCCATGAGGTCTCTTCCTACTCTATGATTCTATGATATTCCTCATCATTAGACATCATGACTATAGCTGATGGCAATTGTGATACAGTAACACCTGGAAGGCTGCAGTTCTGTTCAGTCAGGATAATGGGGTTGATTTTGGTGACATGGCTTGTGGATATGATGCCTGACTTTCAAATATCCTTTAGCCTTTCCCCAACCTCAGACACACAAGTGCTGATGGGTTGCAGTCCCAACTATCCTCAGACCACATGGCAGATAATGAAATGTTATGGGAGTTGAGTTGTTGTGAGTTTTCCGGGCTACATAGCCATGTTCCAGAAGCATTCTCTCCTGACGTTTCGCCCACATCTATGGCAGGCATTCTCAGAGGTTGTAAGGTCTCACAGACCTCACAACCTCTGAGGATGCCTGCCATAGATGCGGGTGAAATGTCAGGAGGGAATCCTTGTGGAACATGGCCATACAGCCCGGAAAACTCACAACAACATAGTGATTCTGGCCACGAAAGCCTTAACAATACGTTATGGGAGTTGTTGTTCAGTAACATCTAGGGACTCAAACTGGGTAAAAACTAAAGAGCACCAAAATATGTAATATATATATATATAGTTGGCCCTCAGGAGCATGATTCTCTTTACATGGATTCAATGACCCTTTGAAGGCAATCCTAGATGTGACCCTAGATGAAAATGAGTCTGACCCCCCCCCCCTCCATAACACATGAAAAGATGACAGCTCTGCAAATAGTCACCAGGGGTCACTAATATTCCATTAACTGTCTTTTGGGATGTCTGGTATTCACCTCCTTCATGCAAAAATATGGGGGTTCTGAGTCTTAATTTGAAACTCTGCAGCCATATTCCACTTTCTATTTTATGACGGATTAAATGCAGACATGCATGGCTTCAACAATAGCCCCACTTTGTTTGCCCAAACTAGCCCAATAAAGAGTTCTGGAGAACTGGAATGCTTTACCTCTTTGATAACATTTTGGGTGGCCTAAGTAAAGATTCTGGCCTAATATCAATTTGGTGGGGGTTTATTTATGGCAAGCTTGTTTATGCATGTTTGATTAAAACACAAACAAAAAAATGTTACTCCTTGTTAGCTTAACACATTTATTTTGATTATTTATGCCCCATCTTTCTCCATCAAAGTTGGAACTAAGGAATCTCACAGCAAATAATAATAATAATAATAATAATAACAATAACAATAATAATAATAAACATTTCATCCACATAATAAAATAAAATAAAACATTTCATTCAAATAATAGATTGGGCTGGGGACAAATTTGTAGGCACAGGTAGAGACAGAATCAAAAAGTTAGGAGTTTCCAAGGGCCATCCAGTCCAATCCCTTGCCATGCAGGAACACACAATCCAAGCCTTCCCAATAGATGGTCATCCAGCCTCTCCTTAAAAACCTCCAGGGAAGGAGATTCCATCATGATTCAAATTGAATAGATAGTGCAGTCTAAAATTATATCCTTTTGGGAATATCTGCACACATGCAGACTGGTCCCTGACTGATACATGAAGAAGAATATTTTTACCTGAACATCCAGAAAGTAGGCTCTCAGCAGCGAAGATGTAGGATACCGAGAGAAGAAAAACATCAGCTTAGCCTTTTTCAAATGGCCAGGCGTCAGGGCTTCCTGAATGTAATCTGTAGTCAAGGGAAAATCACTTGCAGTTCCTATAGCCAATTCTATAAAGAATTGCACAGAAAGCTAAATCTGAGTAGGTTTGACTCTTCCCATATAGCTTTGCAAAAATGAAAGAAGCTGCGCTTGGCAGAATTTATCCATTTTGCATTCCTTTTAAAGGTCCAGTTGTTTTTTCAGGCTGAGAAGCCACTGTTTGGCATCTTGTTCTCCCACATTCTGCATGTCACTGTGTTAAATCAGGATGACATTAACTGCTATGTCTAAATGTCTACACAAAGAACCATCTTCCTAACCCTACTATTACACAGGTCTATGAGAGAAACCTTCCTTTACAGTCATCCCTCCACATTTGTGGTTTTGACTTTTGTGGATTTGATGAATTACATATTTGGTTAAAAATGTTCTCTCTGGAAATCTCTAGGCCAGTAGTTCCCAACCTTTAGTTCTCCAGGTGTTTTGCACTTCAGCTCCCACAATTCCTAACAGCTGGTAAGATGGCTGGGATTTCTGGGAGTTGAAGTCCAAAACACCTGGAGGACCAAAGGTTGGGAAGCACTGCTCTATGCCCTCCTGTGTAACCCTATGGTCAATACACCTGCAGTATGAGAAGTCAGCAAAGTCAGCACATAATAGCCATACGTAGCTGAGGTTCCAAATCAGGAATGGGCTATTTCTGCTCCTCCAGATGTTGTTGGGCTAAACCAGTGGTTCTCAACCTGGGGTCCCCAGATGTTTTTTGGCCTTCAACTCCCAGAAAAACTAACAGCTGGTAAACTGTCTGGGATTTCTGGGAGCTGTAGGCCATAAACATCTGGGGACCCCAGGTTGAGAACCACTGGGCTAAACCCATCATTCATTATCACAGTCCAAGAACCCCTGGAAAGTCACAGGTTTTAGGGTCCTTCCACACAGCCCTTTATCCCAGGATATCAAGGTGGAAAATCCCACATTATCTGAGTTTGGACGCAGATAACCCAGTTCAAAGCAGATATTGTGCGATTTTCTGTCTTGATCTTCTGGGATATAGGGCTGTGTGAAAGGGCCCTTATTCTCACGGTAGATGAAGATTTTTTTTTTTAAGCTTTTAAAGGATATATGCATTGCGGGAAAGTACACCCCATCCATCAGAGCACACGTTTCAGCAAACGCTCCCTTTGATGTTGGAAGAGAAGCCAAAGTATCTATTTCAACAGATTTACATGATGTTGGATATTGTTGCTGTCTCATACTAGAGGATTTCAGTTTGACTGGTTGCTGCAGCATATCTAAGGACTCTGGCAAAGAGACCATCCTTGGTGTGGGACTGACCCAATGGCTATCTGGACCATGTAGTAGCATCTGACGAATAAGGCCATCTTTTTGGACTTCAGGGGAGGTTAAGGGATAATTCTCACAAAGCACTTGGCAGGGTTTTCTTCCAGGTTTTGAGTGAATGGAACAACCTGAAAGGGCATGAGTTTTTTCTGTGAGTACTGATATTGAGCCTTCATGGGAAAAGATCTTTGGAAGCCATTTCCTTGATGGATTTCTTCCAAGACCTATAAATTCTCTTCCAGGAGAGGACACTGCTTCTGGGGAGCCAAAAGGCAGTTGGGACTGGAGGCCTGGGGATTTAGACAAGACCCTTTTCAAGACAGAGTCCACAGCCTCTGTCACTCCTTGCATTAACTCGTGTTTCAAAGTATCTGAAAGAATTATTTCTTCTGACAATGGAATGCATGAATCCATAATTTCAGCTTCTTTCTCTGACAATTCAGGGCTTTTCATCGCAGGAATATTGTTTTGGAAATAATCTCTTTGTTGGCCATTTATGACAGCACAATTACTATTGTCCCAATTTGGTCCAAACATTTCCTTCAATTTGTTAGTTGTCTCCTTCATACTCTCTTGATTCAGATTGGAAAAATGGACTTCACGAGGATGGATGAACCTTTCTTGAAGTTGCTTCAGCTGATGTTCCAAAAGATGAAACTGATTTTTCAGATGGAGATATTCCTCTGACTGGATGTTGTTCCTATCAGTTCCTGACAACAAAGTTTGCTGCTGAGGAAGTTTCTGTTTTCTCTTGTTATCTTGATAGCCCTTCTTTGTTTTATCAGCATGGCGCTGATCTTCTAAATTACAAGGCCCCATTGGGTTTGGCATGGTGTTCATTCCCTGGATAATGTTTTCAACCCTGGCCCTCTTGGCTTGTAAGGGATCATGATGGAAGTGACTAGAGTCACTCAAGACATAAGCAGGTAACTGAGCCAAAGAGGAGGGAGGACCCTGAGAAGAGGTACCATTCCTACCACTTGACAACAGTTGTTCTTTTTTTGGTGAGGAATGGAGAAGACATTTTGGATCCAGCTCACCGTAAGCTTCTGACTGGCTAAGGAGGTATGATATTATGGCTGCATAGTAAGACGCAGAAGAAAGTAAATAGTCTCTTTCAACACAGTGCTCTCCATTCTGTCTGTCTGAATATCCAGAGCTGAGATTATAATTATATAGGTTGGAGATAGGGTTTCCATTCATGTCTTTTTCTTCTTGGAGATGACAAATTGGCACCCAATGAAACACAAAACAGCAGGGATTTTTGAGGTAGTAAGACTGGAATATGGCCACAACCCAGGTAGGAGTGTTTCACAGTTCTGAGAAGTCAGAAAGCTAGAACGGGCAAAAAACCAAAAAAAAAAATTAAAAGAATTTTTCATTTGTTTAACACTTCTCTCAAATTATTATCTTCCAATTTCAAAGTAACATTTTTTCCATTCATAATCATTTATCTAGCTGGGGCAGAGGTCAACACAGAAAAATCTGCTATTTTGCATTTTCTCCCAAATACTTATTTACAAACATCATGTAATTATAAGACTCATCCATGGTACAGAATAGTGAGGTAGTATTCACATTGCTCAAGACGGGCAACGGCAAACCTCCTCCGAACAAATACTGCTTAACCAACCTGCGATGGGGTATTGCTGGAGTCATTATAACTTGGAATCAAGTTGAATTTGCACAACAACGGCAAAAGCATGATAACTGGGACCCAATGCTGGTTGCGTGACGCAGGTCAGAATTAGAGAAGCGAAGATGTTACCTATTTGAACGTGTTTGCGTACAATTTCCTGATAGCCTTAAGCACTATGCTTGGCTGTTTGTTGCCCCCCCTTCTGTCCCCCCCCCCTTTCTGGCAAATTATTTTTCCACAACTCTGTCACATCTGCGTCCCTCACTTGTTGCGCAGTCTCGGCATTGGGTCCCAGCTATCATACTTTTGCCTTCTAGTGCTTTAGAGATCTCTGGCAAAGAATTCTAAGTATTTGATGAAACTACAAATCCAAGGACACCATAGCATGGAGCCAAGGAAACTAAAGTAGCATCCATGCGCTATAATTGCAGACTAAAAACATACCCAAAAACATTATCTCATGGTATCCAAACAACCAGGCATTCTTTCCAAAAACAGCCTCTCTCTAAACAGGCATCTCCAAAAGTATCCACAGAATTTACTTGTATGATTTCAATTTGGTTCTCAAATCGTCCTACCAGATAGATGGTTCTGGGGTCCATCCACTCTGTAGAATTAATGCAGTTTGACACCACTTTAACTGCCATGGCTCAATGCTATGTAATCCTGGGATGTGTAGTTTGGTGAGGCACCAGCTGTCTTTGGCAAAATAAAGCTACAACTCCCATTATTCCATTGCATTGATCCACAGCAATTAAAGTGGCGTCAAACCAAATTAATTCTACAGCATACTATCTTAAGAGTCTCTTTGTCCTAAACTGCATTGGAACCTGTATTAGGAAAAAGGAAGGAATATAAATAAACTATCAAAATTATCAAAACATACTGTATTTTTATCTACCTCCAAATTGTAATTACAAAGAAATTAAAAAGCAACATAACACATCAAAAAAGGAAACACAACAGTGTTACTATCAGAGAGATATCTTAACATCGGATGCATCTACAAGCTGATGGTTCTCTCAATAGTCAAAATCTACCTGTGAGCAAGTGACCATGAGGATTCTTCTTTGCTGGTGCTGAAAAAGAGATGCTCACCTTGGCTGCCACAGGTCTGCAGAGTGAGCACTGCTCTGTACTTTCAAAGCAAGTGAAGGTTTCTCTTGAATGAAGAAACTTCCACTGGATCACAACTGCTGTCACTCAAGATCCCTTAAATCCCTGCATTGCTGCCTCAAAGAGGGGTTTGAGGGTGGCCCAGAGCAGCCAACCAGCTTGAGGAGGCAATGAATATGCACACAGAGAGATGGCTGGGGTCAAGTTGCCTTTAATGAAATTCCCCTTGGCTATTCCCAGGGCACAAGGACCTCAAAAGGCATAACAATTTCAAAGGAGGAAACTACTTGGCAGAGGAAGATGTGGGATGAGTGTACACTCCCCCCCCCCCCCCCCCCCCCCCCGAGAACAACCACTTCTTTTTCAAACAGTTTTAAACACTCTTTTGTGTCTAGACTTAATCAAAGTCCACCCAAGAGTCTTCTGAATGTGAAAGGAAGCAGTGCAATTTTATATCAGGATTACATTGGAGAGAAATAGATCAAAGACAAATATAGTGCCTGGCTCTCTTCTCTTGAGCAACAGTCTAGTTGAGGTTGGATCTCAAGGTGGCAACATGCCTGGTTTCTTTTATTCAAAGGCCCCTTCTACACTATCATATAAAATCCAGATTATCTATTTGGAACTGGATTATATAGCAGTGTAGACTAGGCATGGGCAAACATGGGCCCTCGAGGTGTTTTGGACTTCAAGTCCCACAATTCCTAGCAGCTGGATTGCTTTGAACTGGATTATATGGCAGTGTAGACTCATATAATCCAGTTCCAAGCAGATAATGTGAATTAGTTGCTTTGATAATCTGGATTATATAGCAATGTAGAAGGAGCCTGAGTTACTTTCCTACAATATGCATAGGCACCTTCCACACTGCCATATAAAATCAAGATTACCTGTTTTGAACTGGATTATATGGCATCATAGATTTATATAATCCAGTTCCAATAAAATAATCTGGATTATTTGCTTTGATAATCCGGATTATATGGCATTGTAGAAGGGGCCTGAGTAACTTTCCTACAATATGCATAGGCACCTTCTACACAGCCATATAAAATCCAGATTATTTGCTTTGAACAGTTGCAGTGTAGATTCATATAACCCAGTTCCAAGCAGATAATGTGGATTATTTGCTTTGATAACCCGGATTATATGGCATTGTAAAAGGGGCCTGAGTAACTTTCCTACAATATGCTTAGGGACCTTCTATACAGCCATATAAAATCCAGATTATCTGCTTTGAACTGGATTACATGGCAGTGTAGACTCATATAATCCAATTCCAAGCACCCAATTCCAATGTGGATTGTTTGCTTTGATAATCCGGATTACATAGCACTATAGAAGGGGCCTGAGTAATTTTCCTATAATATGGTCAAGCCCCTTCTACACTGCCATATAAAATCCATATTACCTGTTTTGAACTGGATTATATGGCAGTATAGACTCATATAATCCAGTTCCAAGCAAGTAATGTGGATTATTTGCTTTGATAATCCGGATTATATAGCACTATAGAAGGTGCCTGAGTAATTTTCTTACAATGCTTTGAACTGGCAGTGCAGACCCATATAATCCAGTTCCAGGAAGATAATGTGGAATATGTGATTTCATAATCCGGATTATATGGCATTGTAAAAGGGGCCTGAGTAACTTTCCTACAATATGCTTAGGCACCTTCTATACAGCCATATAAAATGCAGATTATCTGCTTTGACCTGGATTACATGGCAGTGTAGACTCATATAACCCAATTCCAAGCACCCAATTCCAATGTGGATTGTTTGCTTTGATAATCCGGATTTCATAGCACTATAGAAGGGGCCTGAGTAATTTTCCAACAATATGCTCAAGCCCCTTCTACACTGCCATATAAAATCCATATTGCCTGCTTTGAACTGGATTATATGGCAGTATAGACTCATATAATCCAGTTCCAAGCAAGTAAAGTGGGAGCCCCCTGTGGCGCAGTGGGTTAAACCCCTGTGCCGGCAGGACTGAAGACCAATAGGTCGCAGGTTCGAATCCGGGGAGAGGCGGATGAGCTCCCTCTATCAGCTCCAGCTTCTCATACGGGGACATGAGAGAAGCCTCCCACAAGGGTGATAAAAACATCAAATAATCCAGGCGTCCCCTGGGTAACGTCCTTGCAGACGGCCAATTCTCTCACACCAGAAGCGACTTGCAATTTCTCACGTCACTCCTGACACGACAAAAAAAATCCGGATTATATGGCTCTGTAGAAGGGGGCCTAAGTAACTTTCCTACAACATGTTTAGCCTCCTTCTACGCTGCGGTACAATCCAGTTCAAAGCAGATAATCTGAATTTTATATGGCAGTGTAGATCCCGTCTGACTTTCACTCCAATGAACCCAACGCCGGGGTTTTATATACACCCGGAATTTCCATGCAGAGCGCGCCTCTACTTAATATAGATCTCTGGCTCCCCAACCCCCGCGCTTGGCTCGTCCCTTGATTGTCCCCCTGCTGTCCGGAAGTGGTACGGCCCGCTCCGCCCTCCCCCTCCCCTCGGACTCAGTTGGTCGCTCCCAGACCGCATCCGGCCTCTGCCGGGCCTGGTTCCGGTGCACGCCCTGGGCCTCAAGCAGCTGCTGCAGCCGCGATGTTGTTCCTCTCTCTGGCTCGGGCTCGTTGCTTCAACCGGCTGCTGGGCCGCTCGCTCTGCGCCACCCGGCAGGTAGTTCCCGGGGGAGAAGGGAAGGGGAGCCAGGCGGCAAGGCCCGGCCTGCAGAGAGGGAGGAAGGCAGGCAGGCAGGGAGGCGCCAAGGGCAAGGCGGGGGCAAGCCAGCTTAGGCGGTTTCTGAGTTTCTGTCCCATGGAAAGCATGTGGCATACAATCCTCATTCACAGGCATAGGCTGTTAGGAATTGTGGGAGTTGAATTCCAAAACACCTGGAGGGCCCAAATTTCCCCATGCCTGCTCATTCATGATTCTTGCTGCAAGGTGGCAATGATGTCCTTCCAGTGTTGTATGCTGTCCTTATTATATTCACTCCTTTGTTTATTACTCAATTTATGTTCTACTGCGTCCCTTCTCGTCTCCATTTTTGTCCTCACAGCTACACTATGAAGGTCAATCAGGTTGAGAAAGCGAGGCTGGATCTACACTGCCATATAGTCCAGTTCAAAGCAGATCATCTGGATTCAGAAACTGGATTGTGTGGCCATGGAGATGGGCTCTGAGTGGCAAGCCCAAGGTCACTCAGTGAGTTTGGTGGCTCAGTCAGGTCTGGAATCGGGAGCTCTCAGCATTGTATTCTACACAAGGAACCACAGCATTAGTCTGGATTATTTTTTTATTGCGTTTGTAGCCCTCCTTTCTCAGCCTTACGGCTATTCAAGGCGGCTCACAGAATTGGCAGAATTTGATGCCATACATTCATAAAAGTACAGTTGAAAACATTCAACCTAATATTATAAAAGTAATAAAACCACTAAAAACATCATCACCAGTGTAGTCCTGTTAAAATCATTATCCAGCAGCAGCATATAGCCCAGGGGTCCTCAAACTTTTTAAACAGGGCCAGGTCACAGTCCCTCAAACTGTTGTAGGGCCGGATTATAATTTGAAAAAAAAAAACATGAATGAATTCCTATGCTCACTGCACATATCTTATTTGTAGTTCAAAAACCACTTTAAAATAATACAATAATTAAAATGAAGAACAATTTTAACAAATATAAACTTATTAGTATTTCAATGGGAAGCATGGGCCTCCTTTTGGCTGATGAGATAGATTGTTGTTGTTGTTGTTGCTGTTGTGTGCTTTCAAGTCATTGCAGGCTTAGGTTGACCCTGAGCAAGGGCCAGGTAAATGACCTTGGAGGGCTTTATCCGGCCCCCAGGCCATAGTTTGAGGACCCCTGGTTTAGCCATTCCGTGTTCATTCTTCCTATTTCATAATTATGGATCTGTGCAAAATGATCTTATCGTTTGGAGAGACTCCAGCACCCTTTGGCAGAGAAAGCTAAAGACCTCCTATGATTCCATATCATTGAGCAATTACAGTTATAATGGTAGCGAACTGTATTAATTCTACAGTGTCTTTATTTATTTACTTCATTTATACTCCTTTCTCACCCCGCAGGGGACTCAAGGCAGCTTACAAATTTCAAGGCTGCATCATAGACATAACTATTTATTTCCCATACTTGTACCCCACTCTTTTCACCCTGAAGGGGACCCAACAAACAGATTCCAAAAAATAACAATTACAGTTAAAAACAGCAATAAAGCAGACATTGTTAAAACAGCAATTAAAATCTTGCAAGTTCAAATTCGTAGTCTAGAATCATTCCATTAGTCCGTCACTTTAAAAGATCTCAAGTATTGCATTGCTATAGTTACTGCTCAAATGTTTGGCCCCATAACCATGTCTTAAGTTTTTTTCCCCCTGAAAGACAGGGTGGAGGGGGCTGTTCTGATTTCATTGGGGAGAGAGATCCACAGACAAGGGGTCACCATTGAAAAGGCCCTGTCTCTTGTCCCCACCAGTTGCGCTTGTGAGAGTGGTGGGACCGAGAGCAGGGCCTCCCCATATGATCTTATTCGATCTTAATATAACAATAAACATACCCAATCAAACTATAAAACCATCAAACATATGTGCAAATAAAACACATAATACAATAAAACAGATTAAAACACACAATATATTAAAACCTGAAATGCCAAGTCTTGGTTTTATACTTATTTGTTCGTCTGTACTCATTATCCAAACAGTTGAGGTCAAATTCCGTATTGGCCTATTCTCCAAATGCCTGCGTACAGAGCCAGGTGTTTAGTTTTTTTCTGAAGATCAGTGTAGATCAGTTATGGGCAAACTTCTCCCCCTCCGGGAATTGTGGGAGTTGCAGTCCAAAACACCCAGAGGGCTGAAGTTTGCCCATGCTTGGTGTAGAGGCAACTAAATACTGGCAGTTAGTCTCAAAGGTACTACATGATCCCCTTATACACTACACACACTGCTTCTTAAACTGTGGATCCTCACCCCAAACGGGGTCACAAAAAATTGGCAAAGTTTCTGAATGCCACCTAGTTTATACAAATCTGTTGACAACCACATGCAGTGAGCAGGAAGGGGTCATGAAAAGATTTATCGGGCAGAAGGGAGCCACAAATAGGAAAAGTTTAAGAAGCCCCATATGCCTGCTTTTTATATCAGTAAAGATAATTTCAAATAGCAGATGTTTCCTATTGGCATCATTCTCATTTATTGCGATGTATGTGTTTGTGATCTGCCTTCAAGGTGCTTCTGGATTGTGTCCACTCTAATGAAACTCCATCACACCATTTTCTTGATAAGATTTGCTCGGGGGGTGGGGGGTGGGGGGTGGGGGGTGGGTGGTGGGTGGGTTGTCTTTCCCTTTCTCTGAGGCTGAGAAAGTGTGGCTTGGATAAGGTATGTTTCCATGGCTGAGTAGGGATTAGAACTCTGGTCTTTTAGTGTCTTAGTCCAACTTCCAAAACACAACACTACACTGGCTCTCAACACTGGTACCATTAAGATTTTCCTCCCCTTCTTTTCTAACTTATAATTGGTATTGGAGGAATGGAAGGATTTGCTGTGATTTTTCCACTGTGGGCAGTGAAATATTAAATACTTCTTGCGATGTGATCAGACCGCTCTCAGCATCATGAGTAATGACTGAATAATTCAGGCATAAAGTATTTTGGCTTTCAAAAGTTAACTAAAAAGTTGTTGAAAGAACTTGAACAAAGAAGGGTGGAGATTGAGGGAGGAACAGTTATGTTTATGATATGTTGAATAACAAGTATGAAGGCATTTGCAAAGCCAAATGTGCTGTTTTGGGGATTAGAAGAAACAACAGTAACATTGATAGTCTGAGGTTCTTTATATAAAAATGAAAAGCAAGTGCAAGATGACTTTAATGGTGTGGATTCGATGAGGAAGGAGTGGATCAAAATGTATTCTACAGATAGAAGGAACAATTGAAAGGAAGTAGATGAGCATAGAAGAATTTTCTCACAACCAGATCTTTGACCTTTGTTCAAAGTTGAGACTTGCTGTTCCAGTGTAATAATAGCATTTGGGCATTGCTTTGTTAAGAACCATAAAACTTATTTTCTTTTGTATCCATAACTTTCCAACACAAAAATAAGAGGAATGAAAGCAAGTAAGGGTGTGTATAGTCTTGGACTGTGTATACAGAATAATGTATGATGCAAATATTGCTGTGTATAGTCAAATGCATTCAGTGGAGATCTGTAGCATGAAGAGGAATTATTATTTTATTTATTTTTCAATACTGGTGGTATTGGAAATAATGTGATTCATTTGGTGCTTTTCTGGGGAGTATAGTTCTGAGGATGTCTAAGAACTTGAGCATCATAAAATGAATTTACGGTATGGTTTCCAGGAGTTGTTTTTCTTAATACTTGAGTATGTTACTCTATGGCGGCAGAATTTACATCTTTACAAGTGAGAACATTTTCTTGACCATGTCATACTTGCTTGTCTGTCTTTCTTTGTGGAAAACCATATAAGAGACACCCCAGTGGATCTCATTTTTGTTTGTTAGAAACTAATGAAACTTAACTGCAGAACCATATATCATGTACCTTCAGTTCTATCAAGGAATTCTGGTGTGTATATTCTGGAGCACAAAGAAACATTCATGAATTATTTCTATTATGCTGTGCTTTATTTTAACCACTATATGCTCTGCATAAATTAGAAATGTTTGGGCTTGTAATATCTCAAGCTAGCAGACTGACCTGCAGTTTTGAAAAGTATTCTTGATTTTACACATTGTATATAGAGTATTGTGTACATAGAAAACAGTAGAAGTACAGTCATTAGTTTAAAGTGTCCTTGATCATAGTAAGCCTTCCTGCCAGGTCATTATGTTATCAGGTGCAACAAATTTTTAAATCAATGTATATTCTTATAGCAAAATATGGTAATCAATTTTTCAAAATTATTCAAGGCTGATCATAAATCCGAACCACTTTTACTCACTTCATTGTACAAATATGTTCTATATTTTTCAGAACATATTTTTCTTATAAAAATGCTTTTGCAAACTTAGCATTTTTCTCTCTAACAGAATAATGTAATCACATGCTCTTATTGAATAGGGTCCACTGTGACTTGCTGAGTACTATATTTGTTTATCTAGCGCAAAATATGAGATATGAGTTTGCCCAGAATTTTTGTCTCCTGCAAAATGTAGAATCTCATGAGGTAAATCTGCCTTGAATAACTCTTGAGTGGTCTTTACAATGGTGATTGTATCATATTTTTGTATCATATTTTTCTTTAGCAGGGAAACTGTCCACAAGGGAAACGTTCACTCTCTGGTGAGTCTTATCTTGGGTTAACAGCTTGTATGTCTCAAAAAAGAAAAACATAAACAAAACTTGTTTTGAAAACACAACAAAATTCCATTCTCATTTTTTGTGAAAGCCAACTTTCAACAAAAATTACACTGTGAAGCAAATTGCTTAGAGACATCTAACAGTTATATTTTATAGCCTAATAAGCCCATTCACCCATCATGTATGTTTGCAGAGTATAATACAGATGACACTCGAATTTCGTAGAGCTTAGGTACACAGGTTCCCCGAGAAAATGATGAATATCTCACAAACTCTACTGCTGCAAAAATATTTTTCAATATCATCAGGCTTCTCAAGGAGAAGGAAGAGGAGGACGAAGAGAGTGAAGGGGATTTTTGCTCCAACCCTCTATCAGGGCAGATGGGATGACAGTTGTGGGCTGAAGGCAAGGGCAACTGAAAGTGGCTTCAGCAGCTTCTCTTACAATGACCGCTTCAGCAAGTCTGGGCTTATTAGGAAGCTCCAACAGTGGTAGGCAGGCCTTGCTCTGGGCCAGACTCACAGTATTTTTGAAGCCAGATTTGCCAAGACCACTATTTTAAGAATTTATTATTAATTTATTTACTGCATTTTTACCCCGCTCTGTCTCAACCCTGATGGGGACTCAGAGCGATTTCCAGTTTGGCAATAATTCAGTGCCACATTGCAACATAGAGTACAAATACACAACACATTAAGTATTAAAATCATAAAACAAACCATATAAATACATTTAAACAAACTGTTAAAAGCATTGCACTAATCCCACAATTGTAGTCCAATCCGGTTCATTTGTATTAACTCCATGGTTGCATATTGCACTGTGATTGTACTACTCCCCAAATGCTTGATTCCACAGCCAAGTTTTAACTTTCTTCCTGAAAACCAGGAGGGAGGAAGCTGAGCTAATGTCTCTGAGGAGAGAGTTCTGTAGCTGAGGGGCGACCACTGAGAAGGCCCTGTTCCTCGTCCCCACCAGCTGTACCTGCGATTGGGGTGAGACCAATAGCAGGGCCTCCCCAGAAGCTTTTAATGGCCATGGACAGCCATGATAGCCTCTTCCTGCTAGGTTTGCACTCCTCTTGCTGCCGTCACCTCTCCCTTTTCTCATCCTGATCCCTCTATTCACCCTGGAGCCTGCAAACTATCTGTCCTCGATCTTGTGAGCAAACAAGGGAACACTTCCTGCCACTCCCCCCATTCCCATCCCCGTCATCTCTCCCACCTGAATTAGTGAGCAAGGGGATGAGCCACCCTCCTTCCTCCCATCCCCCCTGAGTGTGGGGAAGTGCACACAGCCAGGCCCAGCCAACCTGCCAATTTGATTTCCTCCCATCAGCACTGTTATCATAGTCCCTGTTAAAATTGGCACATGGCAGCAGCAAATACAGTAATCCGCAAACAATCAAGTCAACAAAAGTTTAACGTCAGCATGGAAGGATGCCGGTAGTTGAAAGAGATTGTGATGCATGGAAAGTATAATGCAGCAAAAGTATAACTGCTGGTTTTTAAATCCCCTTTCCTGCTGGCATCTAATGAAAGTGTAATACTTCTAGTCAGATATTTTCATGAGTTAGATGAGGCTGAACAATTGGGAGCTTAATGCAGACAAGACAGAGGAGCCCTTAATCAGGCAAAAAAGCAAATCATAGAACAGTGGTCCCTCGTCCCACCAGCTGTACCTGCAATTGGGGTCTAATCATCCTGTTCTGGTTGGGGTTATACTTTGCTGAAAACCCAGGGTTTCAGCATGGTTACTGCATTCTTCAAAGACAGCCCAATATACAGTTTTAATAAATAATAAAATTTGTCTAGTTCCTCCACTGTAAATCATAGAATAATAGTTGGAAGAGACCACATAGGCCATCTAGTCCAACCTCCTGCCATGTAGGAAAAGCACAATCAAAGCACCCCCAACAGATGGCTAGTCTTATGCCTCCTAAGATCTACAGGGAGTTTAATAACTTGCTCCAATCCTGAGTTCATTTACCTGGGTATATTCTCCACTGAATTTGATGAAATTTAACTTCAGAATGGGCATACATGTAATTACACTGTTCATCCTAACTGGTAGTTTCTGCATGTCACTTCTAATAAAATTAGAATTTCTTCTTGGTACATATTTCCAAATTTTTATAAATACTGTATTGTAAATTCTTCTGGTAATTTATCAGATTAGGGGAGGGTCACAAAATATGAAGAATTTGCTATTTGTCCCAAATGTAGATGAACAAAGTATTTTTACAGGAGCAATGATATTATGGGAAATGTGCTGATGGGCAGGAGATCTTCAAAATGCAGGAATGTTTAGGATCAGTCATGCATTGATGTCTTCTGAATTTCTTGATATCTATGTTGTCTACCTTTTTGATATTTACTTTTTATCGTGTGTACTGGTTTTACTCTTCACAAAAACATTTAGAGATAATGTTAGGGAAACCAGAAAACATACAGGATAATTGCTGTTTAAACCCAGTGATTGTCAGAAAATGTTTTTTCAAGCCTTTTATAAACACATACATATTTTATATTGTTCTATATGTTATTGTAGTGAAATAAACAAATTTCTAATTAAAGCAATTTCTGCTTCAAAGGTGTCTCTCGATGCCAGGGGCTGGCTTATGCCAACAGTAGGAAGCATTTGTAAGTATACAGCTTACAGAGTCAGCAAATGTAAGCTACCACAGCAAATTACAGTTTGGAATAGCTAGCACAGCATCAATTTCTAATTATATTATAGTCTCAGAGAAGAGGTTCTGCAAATGGCTACTGTTTTTATTGAAACCTGCAGTCTGTTGGAAAGATTCTTCACTGCAGGGACATATATGACTCTATTAAACCATATCTTGTGCACAGTCCATTCTCTGGAATGATACTGCAGTGCTATGACCATCATACTTGTATTGTCTTTCCCTTTTGCATCTGACTGTATAATGAAAGTATACCCAATGACCGAGGTTTTCTGTGGCATTCTGCTTATATATTCGAGTGCTGTTCTGAAATGTAGAAATGTTCATATTTCCAATTGAGATAAATGTGGGTTTGACTTTGTGTTTGCTCTATTACAAATAACATCCCTAAAATAAAACTGAATAATAGTGGGCCTACCAAGTGTTGTTGGATTAAAGTTAGCACCAATTATAGCCAGCCTAGCCAGATGTGATGGATCATGAAAATTATTACTCCTAGCTACTTAGGCACCTATCCAGGCTCATCCCACAGATATGCTGTCTCTAAATGGTTGAATACCTGGAATTAGAATATTCTAGATATTGTTATGAACTCATATTAAATCACGTGTATCAGGATATTTTAAAAACATAGAATGAATTATGAGGTATTGTATTATAAGCCACTCTTGAGTCCCCTTCGGGGTGATATAAGTGTCATAAATAAATAAATAAATTAGAGTCAGATGTAATTTTTAATATACATTCTGTGTATTTTCTGATCCCAGTAACAATTCCAATTCCTTCTAAATCTTCTGACAAACTGAGGACTTCTTTCCTGCATCATGTGTGGGATTTTTGTTTGTCCCAATACATTGGCTGTCCACAAAAGTATCCCAGCAGCAAAAGAGTATATTGTTTGGGGGGGGGGGGGAGCATTTTGTTCCAGGTGATTTCTTTTTACGTATGTATACCTGGCAGGTGGCTGAAATAAAAGCAATTGCTTTCAATTGTTCAGGTGACAATATCATAGAAAACATAACATTAAAAACAGTAGCATAGTTGCTTATGGGCATTCTAGCCAACCTGGTCAAGTGTAATATCTGCAATACCCAAATGGGAGGTGGGCAATTTTGAAAAGATCTGGTCAGCAATTTTCAGCCCTGAGCCCCACTACAGATCTTATTTAATCCTGGCATATCTGAAAAATTAAGGGCAAGAGGCCTCTATAAGCGATAAAGTAACCCAATAATATAAACCATAAAAATGTTTTTCATATATATACTATAATCATAGAGCATTCAATGTACACACAAAGCTTGTCAAAGTTCAAAGTATACTACACAATGGTTCAAAATACAGGTACCTTAACACAAAGGTCTTCCTTACATGGAAAAGACAAATTATTCCTGAAGCAAAATCCAAAGGAATATGATCAATGTATTACAAACAATTTATTTATTTATTTTGTAATTTTCTTTTGGGGGTCTCGGGCCGGTTTCCAACAATAAAATCAAACAAACAAACAAACATACTCATAGAAGGCATCTCTCTTATAATCAAGGTTTGTGAGTCCAATATCATATAAAGTTCATGTTCCACATGGAGGATGATGTAAATTACAGATTGTAAATCCAATCCTATGAATCAAATTTGTAAGTCCTTATTAAACCCAAAGTTTTTTAACACAACTGGTTTAGACTGTCTTCCTCAGGTGGTAGTGACTAGAAAACATAGTACAAGACACAAATTACCAAGTGTAGTGAAGCATCAAAGACAGGAACATAAACACTCACGTAAGTTCTCCTACAAGGGTGGTCCGCTACTAGTTTTGATTCTATGGCAACCCCAGGAGAAGCAGGTATAAACTACTGTATATAGGGATAGATTTAAAATCTGAAAAATCAAACATTTCAGATGAAACTGACACCATATCCACTACCAGGTTTGTTTTCTAAGTTGGGAAAAACATAGTTCAACCCTGAAAAACTATAATTCCTGGAAGCTTCCGGTAGATTTTTTTCCTCCAAGATGACTAATCTCTGGAGTGGTCTGCAAGTTGCTCCCTCTGGGATATCAATTGATCTTTGTCTTCTTCCATCCCTTTCAGGGTAAATAGCTCCCGTGTCTTCACTGTCCGTTATTTCAGAAGCACTGCAGCATGCCGTAAGTAACTCAGATGACTGTGACTGATATATGTGGATTTTCTACTTGTTGAAGTACATGTAATCTTGCTCCTTAGATCACATTAACATTATCACTTTTATTTTTAGCTCTTATACACAGATGCAAAATGACAGGAAAATGGATTTGGCCTTCTTATCACACCGCTAATTGTGGTGTTCCGCTGTAGATTGGGTTCTGACATGTTAAATCCCTTTCTAATATTTTCCTGTGCCACAGATCAAGCATTTTTATCTTAGTCAGTAAGGTAAATGGCATTCTCCAGGTGAAAACAAGATGAAAAGGAATGTTTCTTGTCCTAAGGAACTTACAATTTATGTTTCGGCAGATCTAAACCATAGCTTCTTGTGATTTGAATAAGTAGGAGTGGAACTACAGACAGTCCCCAAGTTATGAACAATATAGGTTCTGTAAGTTTGTTCTTAAGCTAAATTTGTATTTAAATCGGAACAGATACATACATACATACATACATACATACATACATACATACATACATATATATATATATATATGAGAGCTTTGGATAGCATAGTGAATGGTTAAAATCCTTGTGGTATTTGTTTTGCTGCCTGTGGCCCTGTTCAGGAGTTTTTTCTGTCCCTATGATGATTGAATTTTGAAAAATGTGCCTTGTTGTGGAAACAAAGATTGGTAATAAAGCTTCAATGAAGACACATTTCCCTGTGATAACTCTTTCAGGGGTCAATTTACCTTCTTGAGAATAGATTTTTCTCACTTCCTGTTGTCTCGCCCCTGTTCTTAACTATGAGTTGTTTGCAAGTCAGATGTTTGTAACTCAGGAACAGCCTATATAACCAGTCATTAGTTTGCATCCCACCCCAAACTAGGAAGAGCTTTGAAACCTTCCATTTGGCAGGACAAACTCTAATTAACACAGACAGTGTTTATTTTCAGTCAGACAAATTAGAAGACATAATTACAGAAAATACCTTTCTTCATCTGTTCTGAAGTCCCTGTTGATTAGTTTCATAGGTTGAGCCCTAAGCTCTAATATTATGGAAGAAGAAGTTAAACATCTGAAGAAGAGATGGGTTTGAAGCTGAGGCTGGAAGACAGGTGGAACCATGCAGATGTTACAGAAGTGAATTCTGACCATTAGGAGCTACAAGGCAACATTTGACCAGTTATTTAAGGCAATATTTGCTGTGATCACTTCCTTGACATGGAAATAGCTCTTTTCTGTAGATGTCCAAGCGTTTTATATGGAAAATATGATGTGCTTTATTATGTGTGTCTACCCATGCATCTTTTACAGGAGAGGAAGTTGTTACAGTGAACACACCGGCGTTTGCAGAATCAGTCACAGAGGGAGATGTCAGGTGGGAGAAAGGTGAGTGGCTGCTCCTCCCCTTGGATCTTTACACATATAGTCTTCTCTTGATCTGCTGTGGGAATGGACTGAAAGTTGAATTGGATAAAGGGGCTCTGAATACTCATTGGTAAAGATTGGTCAAATCTTGTAAGTTGGTAAATGCTTTAATAAGTACATCTCAGTTTTTTTTTCAATTCTGACATACACTTTTTTCTCTATATAAGCATCTCTAAAAATGGGGTGTGTCTTTAAATGTGGGTGTTTTTTTTACCTATAAATATTTTTTCTGTTTATGGTACTGAAATTAATGTGCATCTTACAATCTTAGAATTAAATACAGTAGGTATAAAGAACTGAAATGTACTGTGAAACATTAATATGGTGGTGCAGGAGATTAAACCACTGAGATGCTGACCGAAAGGTTGGCGGTTTTAATCTGGGGAGTGGAGTGAGCTCCTGGTGTTAGCCCAGCTCCTACCAACCCAGCAGTTCGAAAACATGCAAGTGTGAGTAGATCAATAGGTACAGCTTCTGCTGGAAGGTAATGGCAGTCCATGCAGTCATGCTAGCCACATGACCTTGGAGGTGTCTACGGACAATGCCAGCTCTTCAGCTTAGAAATGGAACACCCACCACCACAACTAGACTTAATGCCAGGGGGAAACCTTTGCCTTTAAAGAAAATATTAATAGAGTATCACTTCTTGTTTCATTGTTTCTTTTGTTTAGCTGTGGGAGATACCGTAGCAGAAGATGAAGTGGTGTGTGAGATTGAAACAGACAAGGTAAATATTTTGGTTTTTTTTTTAATTTAACATCGTTGCCATTAAACACAATAAAATACTGACATATGTACTTGTATTTGTAGACGGAGCTGGAAAATTGGATGGGAAGTCACAAAACATAGATAAGAGGCAACCACTTGGAAATTATGCCTAGTTGTTTAATTTTTTTAATTTCTTGGGTATGAAAAGGTTTTCTCAGTTTTGATTGCTGGGAACTAATATCTCTTCCATCATTCTTAGAGTGAAAGTGAAACAGTCGACATGTATACCATTGGTTTTTTCATTGACTATAAAGTAATAATTATTTTAAAGAAAGTAGTCTCAATTTTCTACATGCAATAAAGTGTAGTAATTTGGTTTCTGATATATATGAGAGAGAAAATACATAGTATGCTCTGCTTTTTAACATAATTTCTGTTCGAGACCAGTTCCAGAAATGTATAATTATTTCCTTCTCAAATGATACCACTGTTTTCTTCCCACTATTAGAAGGCAACTCATTCTTCTTTCATTTGCAGACATCTGTGCAGGTTCCAGCTCCAGCAGCTGGTGTAATTGAAGCACTTCTTGTCCCCGATGGAGGGAAAGTCGAAGGAGGTACACCTTTGTTTAAACTCAGGAAAGGTGGAGGTAAGTCAGGACCATGTAACTAATTGATCATCTCTTTTCCATTTATCTGTTGAAGATACCAGTCATTTTAAATTAGGAAAATAGATTTTGCAGCTTAAAATTCTGCATTGATGCACAGTTTATGTAATTCAGTAAACATCTGACTTACCTTATTGCATCAGCAAACTGACACATGGAAGTCTTGTAAAATTGTATGGATTGTATAAGCTTGTTGCTTGTTGAAAGGTAGAGGAAAACACCAGTTTATTTGAGGAAGAATGAAATGTGGCAGCAGGCAACTCAGAAGCAGTTCCAAAAACCTTCCAAAACAGAAAGGTCTTTGGAAAATTGAAGTTTGGCAAATATAAATGAGAAATTAGTGCTACATTTGTGGAGCCATCCATTAAGAAATTTGGTTAATTGCAAGCCTAATAGTATAGTCTCAGGTGTCTTTTCAAGGTTTGGAAAGTGACATGGATTTACCTGGTGGTGCAGCAAGTTGAACTGCTGAACTTGCTGACCGAAAGGTCAGTGGTTCAAATCCGGGGAGCAGGGTGAGCTCCCACTGATAGCCCCAGCTTCTGCCAACCTAGCAGTTAGAAAACATGCAAATGTGAGTAAATCAGTAGGTGCCACTCTGGCAGGAAGGTAATGGCGCTTCATGCAGTCATACTGGCCACATGACTTTGGAGGCATCTGTGGACAGTGCCAACTCTTTGGCTTAGAAATGGAGATGAGCACCACCCCCCAGAGTCAGACATGACTGGACTTAATATCAAGGAGAAACCTTTGCCTTTACCTTATGGATTTACCTAAGTTGGGTGGCAATCTGGTCCCAAACTGTATTACAACTTTTAAGGTTGATATTGGGATTTCCAATTGACCCCAGCAACTAATTGGTAGACAAACTTCACCCATAGAGCATTTGGACAGCTAGAGTATTTAAGGATATATTTTATTCATGAGATTCTCTAATGAGACTAGGCATTAATGGCAGTAGAACAAAGCACTTTTGCATCATCTGGGGCCCAAAAATGCTTTTCTGCAAGATGCTGGAAAGGTGTTAAGTGATTTGTGTGGGGAAATAAATCTGCATGTGTCTTTCATCTTTCTCTTTTCCTAGCTGCACCTGCCAAGGCCAAACCAGCAGCAGCCCCAGCACCAGAGCCTGCTGCGGCACCTGCAGCACCAGTTGCCCCTGCAGCACCAATTCCCACTGCAATGCCTCCAGTGCCCCCTGTGTCAGCACTCCCTGTTGATTCTAAACCAGGTGAGGCCAACAGTTTCTAGTCCTGTTGAACAAATCCGCTCCCATCTGTAGAGCAGAGGATCAGTCAGGACTGAAGATTGCATAATTCTCTGTGGACACTAATTAAGTGTCCACATATATACTCGAGTATAAGCTGACCTTAATAATAAAGTAAAATAATAAATGTAATAATAACAATAACAAATAGAGTAAGATAATAAATGTAATAATAATAGAGTAAAATAATCAATGTAATAATAACAGTAATAAATAGAGAAAAATAATCAATGTAATAATAGTAAAATGATAAATGTAATAATAAAGTAAAATGTAATAATAAAGCAATAATAAAGTAAAATATTAAATGTAACAATAATAATAAGGTAAAATAATCAATGTAATAATAATAGTAAAATGATAAATGTAATAACAAAAATAGAGTAAAATAATCAATTTATTTATTTGTCGTGTCAGGGCAACCAGTCAATTGTATTACATTTCTAACAGAACAAAACAAACACAACACAAAACAAAAAATTTGCAAGTTTGGTAGTTGGTTAAATTTCCTTCGAACAGTATCTGGCCACTTGAAGTGCTTCTGGTGTCACTGTGAGAAGGTCCTTCATTGTGCATGTGGCAGGGCTCAGCATGCATTGCAGCAGGTGGTCAGTGGTTTGCTCTTCTCCACACTCGCATGTCGTGGATTCCACTTTGTAGCCCCATTTCTTGAGGTTGGCTCTGCATCTCGTGGTGCCAGAGGCAGTCTGTTCAGCGCCTTCCAAGTCGCCCAGTCTTCTGTGTGCCCAGGGGGAGTCTCTCATTTGGTATCAGCCATTGGTTGAGGTTCTGGGTTTGAGCCTGCCACTTTTGGACTCTCGCTTGCTGAGCCTCCTCTCAGGATTGCAAGATATCTGGGCGTTCCCTGGGCAACGTCTTTGTAGACGGCTGATTCTCTCGCCCCAGAAGCGACCAGAAGCGACTTGCAGCTTGCAAGCAAGCGAGCAAAACAACCAACGGACCTTCTCAGGACCAACCATGACAATAATCTCAATCAACATTGAAGGCATGTCAGCTGCCAAAGAAGAACTGCTCTATGAACTGTGCCGAGATAAGAAAATAATCAATGTAATAATAACATTAATAATAGAGTAAAATAATGTAAATATAATAATAAGAGTAAAATAATAAATAACGCACTTGAGTATAAATAACGCACTCGGCTATGGAACGCCCTTCCCATGGAGGTAAGATCAGCCCCCTCGTTGATGATGTTCCGAAGGAGATTAAAAACCTGGATGTTCCAACAGGCATTTGGTTAATTCGGTACAATGAATGTAATGATTAAAGGATTGGTAATATGGACGACGAAACTGGATCATGATTTTAGTTAGGAGATGCATTGGGTTGTTATTGATATGCGAATATTGTGTATAATGCTTTTATGGTTTTAAACTGTATACTGTTGATTGTTGTATTTTGTTGTAAACCGCATTGAGTCGCCGGCTAGGCTGAGAAACAGCGGTATACAAGTATAGCAAATAAATAAATAAATAAATAAATAAATATAAGCTGAGGTGGGCTTTTTCAGCCTAAAATAAGGGCTGAAAGACTCATCTTATACTCTAGTATATATGGTAATTCCTGTTTTGCTATTGTCTGTCCTTCAAGCACCTTCTCCCAAATGAGTGTTGTCTTTCCGTCCTGAGTATCCTTGAAGTTATGCCACTCTTCACCAGTAGCCTTATTCTCTCAATCTCTTGACATGATTCTTTCACTTCCTTTCAGTGTCTGCAGTCAAGCCAACTGCAGCTCCAGCAGCTGCTCCTGCCGTGGAATCTGGGGTCAGCAAAGGTGCCAGGTTGGAACAAAGGGTAAATTTCTCAGGTTTCTCAATCTGCTGGGGAATGAGGTGCTGAATTGGTGAAATCGGATGAGATTGAGCAAAGAATAGTTCTCTTATGCAAAAGACACAATAGGCAGTAGCTCAATTCAGAAGCGTTCTTGATTCAACAACATTGTCTTTTCTACTTACTGTTCTGATCAGAATGATGTTCAGAACTGTAATCCTTATTTGTGTTAATAACCTGGTTGCCCTTCTGCTTCTGGGAGTGATTGCTTTTGAGTCTTTCCTGCTAGTATGTGTTAGTTGGGACTGAAATGTCATCTTCACATGTTATTAATATTTCTCCAGTGGTTACTATAGCTGAGTTCTGAGTTTATTTCTCAAAAAGAGTCAGTTTCATTATATAATTTGGTGTAGCAATATCTTCCGGAATATTAATCAGGAAGAGAGAGAAGGAAGGAAAACTGTGTGACTTACATACATATTTATTATTGACGTTTTCGGTCTGTTTGTATGATTTTAAGCTGTTTTAAGCCGCTTTGGGTCCTGTGAGGGAGAAAAGCGGGATATAAATAAAGATATTATTATTGATATCTTTATTATTACATAATTCTGAATGGGAGGTAATGGGAATGTTATTGCTTTAATTTCTTCTTCAGGTGAAGATGAATCGGATGCGTCAGCGCATAGCTCAGCGCCTGAAAGAAGCTCAAAATACATGTGCCATGCTGACTACATTCAATGAAATTGATATGAGGTAAAAAATAAACCTTCAGTAAACCCACATCTTTCCCTATTGAATTCTGTGGGAGTGTTGATTTGCTGGTGTCATCTTTGAGCTTGTTTGCTCAGCTCCTCAGAGTTTTATTAGTTATGCCCTGGGCTGATGGTTGTGATCAGCCTATTTGGAGTGTATTTTGCACAGTACTGAGAAAGGCTGAGTGGAGTCTTCGGAAGCAAGACTCTCCCAATTTACAGAGGTATAAAATCTGACTTCCAACACATTTCACTCGCATCATCCCATCCTGTGTTCCTAGTTCTGTTTAGCTTGTGAGTCTTTAAGAGTGAAACTCTCCAAACAAGAATTTAGTAATGCCACTTGCCATAAAGAATTTCAGGGGCCTTCAGTCAGTTATCGTATCTTACTTGTGGGAGACCAGCAACAAATGTTTGAGTGGCCTGAGCACTAATGGATTTCTGGAAGGGAAAGCTTATATTTCAGCACATTAAGGGTAATGGTGCCCAAATCAAATTGCCCCATGAAATCCTATCTGGCTTCTTAAGACAAAACATGTAAATATTTTGTGCCTGAAATAATAAGGTTGGCAAAACAATCATGATTGGAAAGGAAATGCTGCAGCTTATCTCTTTTTAGAGGCTAATGGAGGTGTCGCTTTACTCTGGCCCCGGGCTGTTGTTTCAGCCAGTAATCTGTTTTGAATTGATTGTCCTCAGCCTGAATGCCGTGCAGTCAACTTGCAAGGACCCGGGCAGGGCCTTTTGCCTTCCCTTTGGGAATTGGCGTCTGTTGGGAAGCCGATTCATGATGGTTTCTTCCTCTCAAACCACTCCTTCAGTCTAGCAGGCGGTGTGTCTTGGGAGGCAATAATGTCTTTGGACAGTAATCCTAGCTGCAAACAAGATTAGGCAAAGGAAAACACACAGTCTAAACCCAAAGGGGCACTTTTACTTTCTAAAAACTGCCTTTGTAAAGCCATATTGTCTGAGAGGTAGAAGATGAATGTTACAACGTCAGTGTTTAGAATGGTCAGGACAAAAGTTCCTCTGGGCAATTTGTAGAGTTCTCTTAAGGCAGTGGTTCCTAACCTGTGGTCCATGGACCACCAGTGGTCCGCAAGAACTAAAATACGGTACGCGGCCTCACCATTACTGCACCATTGCAATGAGAGCAACTGGTCTCGCAAAACCCTCTTATAGTGCTAAGGCTTATTAAAGATGTTTTTCTGTGGGTGAACAGATGGTGACTACTGGATGGCATATGTTCTATATCATAAACTAGAGCTGATGTAGTTTATCCAATGCTGTTTTCTGAATCAGCACCCCAAATAACCAAACCAAATCGAAAGTTGACCAAAAACTGATTCGTAACCCTTTTGGTACTGATGTTGGAGAGTGGGTCAAAGAGGTTCCTGGTAAAAAAAAAAAAGATTGGGAACCACTGTCTTAAGGGAAGGATAACATTGCTTTTTTCTGTCTTCTAATTAAAGATGTTTTCAAATATCCATAGTGGTGGATATTTGAAAAAGATGTAGTGCCGAACTCTATTTATTTTCTATTTGTTTTTTAATGTGAGGCCAAAAAAATCCTGGTCAGTTTCCCTTTTTTGATTTTATTAAATAAAAGCATAGGAGAACTCCTTCAGGATTCAGTGTGCAAAATAAGCAATTTATTCTAAAGCTTCCTCTTTCTGCTTCAGGCCATTGGTCTTTTCTTTGCAGTATAATGTACTCTGCCTTGGTGGCATCTCTCAAAACCCTTGAACACAGAAATTTGCTGTCAGTACTTTAAACTGGGACCACCTTCAGGCCTCTTCTTGAGATAGTCTGTATGAATTTGGAATGTGCTCAGGCCTAGTCGGTTGAACTCATACAGGAGAAGATATTGAGTAATTGTGGATGTTTTAGACTAGCATGCAGAAATTTGTTTTGATGGGCATTCTATGGCTGTAACTGGATTGACTACTGAAGTATCCATAGGTGGTAAATTAGGTTGTCTAAAAAAGTTACTACCATTTTATCTCTCTAGTGTTATTTTAGTTTGAAGATGGCATAAAACTTTTAAGAAATATTTCACGGTGATCTTTTTCAATATTTATTCCTTGCCAAGCTGTAATACAGTTTTAAGACGTTTGGAAGGAATACTACAGATTTCAATATCTCTCAGTTCATCTCTTAATATGGAAAAAAGTCCAGTCAGCCCAAATTCTGAATCTACAATGTTGCCTGAATGGTTTTGCTTTATTTCATGGTGTAAATATCTAATATAGCATTAAGCATTTTTACAACATATGTTTGAGATGTAAAGTGATTTGCGAAGCAAATATAGAGCAGATAGAATATCTTGTAGAATTGGTGCCTCTGTATACAGAGAAAATAAAGAACTTTTCTGACCTTGCTGACTGTTAAGATCTCCCAGATAATAAGTTTTCTTCTGCTGGCATTTCCAGTAACATCCAGGAAATGAGAGCCCGGCACAGGGACAGTTTCCTAAAGAAGCACAATATGAAACTTGGGTTTATGTCTGCCTTTGTGAAAGCTTCAGCCTTTGCCCTGCAAGAGCAACCCGTTGTAAATGCAGGTAAGGACAGCAGGCCTATATTTGTGAAATAAAGATGGCCTGAAAGTTTACAGGAAAAGGCCTAAATGAATGTGAGCTACAATTTCACAGACCCTTGTCCATTATTCTAGCAGTTGAGATTTTCAGATTTAGTGTATCATTGTTTTTACCACAAACGATATTGCTTTGTTGCATTAAGTGTTTGTTTAACCACTTGCACTGCAATTTTCCACACTTGCTTGAGCAAAGGTATAATTAATCACAAATGTACTAGCAGGCATTTTCACACTTCTTAAACTGATGGTGAAATAATTGAGAATATCTGCAGTGATACTGATTATGTAAAGTGCATTTGTGCAAATAGCAATTACTACGTTCTGAAAATCCCTTTCCTGGCAAAAGAATAGTTACACGATGATGATGATGATGATGATGATAGGCTTAAGTTTTGCGTATCTCTACCATATCCAGTTATTTAATTCATATACTTAGGGCATCATATTCATTGTAGGCCATTTTCCCAGAAGTCCAGATGTATTCAGTTTAAAACAAATGAAGAGTTATACACCAGGAAGCATGATCTAGCTTCAGAACTACTTCCATGTCCACACATGTCTGGATTTAGTTGTTGTTTTTTTAAAGAAGGAGAATAGAAACAGAAGTAGACTTTGTCTGATTTAGTTTCATTAGGAAGCTATGCTATGGCCTGTGGCAGGTTCAAAGTGGAGCCAAAATTGCCCTCTGGACTTGATTAAGTTTCCTATCCCTGACATGAAAGCTTAACAGTAGCCTAAGAACATCTTATTCCATTCTGTCACCATCATATATCCTTAGGTGTCCAAAAATATTATCTTGGCTTTTTTTTTTCTCCCCTCTACCTTGTCTAAACTTTTCTGTAAATGTAACAAGACTCCGCCTGTCCTTCCAGTCCTTCTGACAAAAAGTTTAAAATAACAGCTGAGCCTTCTTTCACTTTCATGATGCAGGTCAGAAGCAACTGCAGTCATTTTTGGTTTGAGGATGAAGGGTAAAAGCCCATCACAACATCTGGGCAGGTCAGGCCTCCAGTATTAATCCATGACCTGAAAGGAAGAGACGTGGATAAGGCTCAGTTCTTACGTCCTTTGGGCCACACTGATTAGAGCTGTGCCTCCATATTGCATTCTATAACAGCCTACTTTTCTTTTTCATCCTAGTGATTGATGATACAACCAAAGAGATTGTGTACAGGGAATACGTGGATATCAGTGTTGCAGTTGCAACTCCGAGGGTATGTATCTTGCTTTGTTCTACATTCCTTCTTGACTTCAAGAGATAGGATACTTTCAGGAAACCTGTAGGCTTCTTTTTCTAAAATTATACAATCCTTTTATGTTTCAGTAATTGATTATTCTAATTATCTGATGCATGCACTGCAGGAAAATATTACTAGCAATGTATTTTAGTTCCATCTTCCAGTGATTTTTTTGTAAACATCATTCTGTCTCAAGATGGTTCCCCCCCCACCCATCCCATCTCCCTGTAATGTTATATGATATTATGGATGTTCTGCCTGACCCAATGATATTTGTTCCCTATAGGGTCTCGTAGTACCTGTCATCAGAAATGTAGACACAATGAATTTTGCTGATATTGAACGAGCAATCAATGAACTGGGAGAAAAGGTAATGGCTGATGAGTACAAGGCCATCCCAAAGGGGTGAAAATGGGAGAGAGGGCTACTTGTGGCACAGGCTTCTCACCGTGTCTTCCGCTTAGAATGTTATATTTTATATGCTGAAATAGTGGCCTATATCCAGTAAAGCACTAGCATGACAGAATGTATTTCCCTTCAGGGATCTAGAGTGAGAAGAAAAGAAGAGCTCACTCCTGATGAATTCTAGTTTCTTTACCAGAAGTGCAATATTTCTGCCAGTCATTGGAGAAAAAGTATTTGAACTGTTCACATGATCATAGTGTGAAAAGTTTAAAGGAAGTAGCGAGTTCCTCTTACTTGGAATAGATAAGCAATTAGGCAAACTCCTACCTTATTTTGATTTCTCTTTTTTTGATTCCTCTACAAAGTTTACATGTTGCAACCTGAGCAAATGTATGGGGTTTCCCTCTAATTTTAGGCCCGCAAGAACGAGCTTGCCATTGAAGACATGGATGGAGGTACATTCACTATTAGTAACGGTGGTGTATTCGGATCGCTTTTTGGAACACCCATCATCAATCCCCCTCAGTCTGCTATTTTGGGGATGCACGGCATCTTTGACAGGCCTGTTGCTATTGGAGGCAAGGTATGTAACAATTATATCAGTATTATTAATAATAATATTTATAATAAGATTATAAGGTAATACAATATAAAACTAATAATAATATAATAATTGTCTATTATAAATTGTATGTAATATTACTAATAATATTGCAGTATAGTGGTATAGTACAATATCGAAATATATAATACTAATATTGTGCAATGTTAATAATATAATATAATGTATGTACATATAATATTGATCATCATATTGTAATACAATATAATAATAATAATAATAATAATAATAATAATAATAATACAATATAATAATTCTATATTGCATGTAATATTACTAATAATATTGCAATATAGTAGTATAGTACAATATAGTAATATATAATACTAATATTGTGCTGTGCTAATAAGATAATATATTGTATGTATGTATAACTTGTAAGCCGCTCTGAGTCCTCTTCGGGGTGAGAGAGGGCGGGGTATAAATATAGTAAATAAATAAATGTACTGTGTGGAAGGTTCAAATGCACTTGACTTAGTCAGCCATTAAAATACATGGTTCACCAACTTTGCAAGGCTTGCATGGCTGCTCAATTGGGATGATTCCTAAATTATCAAACTCAGTTGACAAATTCTGGTCCATGCTGGAAATGCTCATGGCATTTCCCATATGATCATAGTAACATTTCAAGGGCCTTTGATGAAGTGAAGTGGAAGAACTATGAATAGCTTCAGTGCCTCCTAAGTACAGTAGAAAAGGCTCACTAATTGAGAACTTTGCTGTATGGTTATTTGGGAAGCAATTCTGAGTGCTGATCAGCATGCATATGCTGGAAATGTATGAGAGGGAGTTGTGTGCAGCAAAATCCCAAATGGTTTGGAAGAAGTGGGCTTTAGTTCAGGAATATGTGCATTTGTTTTTAGTGGGAAATAGGGTCCTTACTTGGCTATGCTAGTGTCATTGGACTGTGTGAAGTTTTGTTTTAAGTGAACTGGCCTGGCTCTTGAAGAGAGGAACCAGAGTAGGCATGGGCAAACTTTGGCTCTCCAGGTGTTTTGGACTTCAATTCCTAACAGCCTACCGGCCTGAACTAAGGTTGCTTTCCAAATAATGATTAATTTAACAAGTTTGTGGGAGAAAAAAATTGATAAAAAGGAGCTTAAAAAGATAAGGGCTGGCCCCCTCCTCTCAACATTGTACATTTAGAAGAAGTGGCAAAATAAATTTGAAATAAACGAAATGGATCCCCTTTTCTGTTTGAAACCCTGGAAAACAAAGACAAAACTTTTAGGAACTCAATTAAGAATCTGAAAGAAAAGGGTGTAATAAGGTAGGAGACCTCTTAGAACCCACTGGAGAAATTAAAAATGGGATAAAATAAAGGATAAATGTGGAATAAAGAACTGGATGGCGTGGTTAGGCCTATCCCAAATAATAAAGGAAATTGGGGGGGGGGGGAGGGAATAAATAGATAGAATCATTTGCTGGAAAATAGAAAAAGAAAAAGGGATTGTTGGGGAAATATATAAAGAATTAACAACCTTATCCTATAAGACAAAATGCACCATAGTAGACACTTGGAGACAAGATACAAACTCTGATGAGAATTTAGTAAGGTCCTGAGTTGACAAAATCCAAAAAATAAACATCTAAAGATTAAGGAAACACAAAGAAAAATAATCACAAAATGGTACAGAACCCCCTTACAATTGGCACACATTATGGGAAACATTTCTAATAAATGCTGGTATAAGTGTACGGAGATTGGGACATTTTCTCATATGTGGTGGGATTGCATTGAAATCAAAAAATACTATAACACAGTTAGGAAAATAATAGAGGAAATAATAGGGCAAAACTTATATTGGAATAAAGCCCGATTTCTGTCCCTCACTATAGAGGTAAAGGAGGGGAATAACGAATGGACAGAAATATTAACATTTATGATATCAGCCATAGTCATCACAATCATTCGAGGTTGGGAAGACAAAACAAGATGGGATCTGTAAACATGGTAGACTTATCTCTCTGAATATTTAACTAACAACTTTATTAATCAAAGGAAAAATAAATATTTGAATAGTAATTCCAAACAAGACTGGAATAGGAAATGGTATTGTCTAATCAACAAAACAGAAGGAAACGATAGGTACAGAATTTTGAACCATGCCATCCAAACAATTAAATTGCTGTATTAAAATAAGCTAACCCAAATGGGGGAGGAAAGAGGGGAGGTGGGTGTGGGGATTTAAGGGGAAAGTAATTTATCTGTATTGAAGTACCAACTGAACATGTAACTGAGTTACAAAACTGTAAATAGCCATCTATATTGATTTATAGAATGTCACTATTTATATAATGCATTGTTTTCTGTATGGTTTTCAGAAATAAAACCACTAAAAAATAATTTATCAAGGACATCCTTTCTTCTTTAGGTTGAGGTGCGACCAATGATGTTCGTGGCCCTGACATATGACCATCGTTTGATTGATGGCAGAGAGGCAGTGACTTTCCTGCGTAAGATCAAGGCGGTGGTGGAAGACCCTCGTGTGCTGTTGCTTGACCTGTAAATGGGCAGCAGCCTACCTCCCCCTCCCACCCCAGCCAGCCAAGGAAGGAGACCGCACCAGCAGACAGAAGAGGGCTGCCAAGGATCAGCAGGGCTTCATTCTGGCATCCTCCTCCTCATAGTGGCAGGAGGTGCTTTGAACTGAACCCTCAGGGTCGTGTGCCTCCCACTTTCCCTGTCTCTTCCAAAGATAGATCATTTTCTTCCTTAAGGCATTTTCATGACTGGTTCAGATGTACACTACTATTCCTTCCCCTGACTTCAGATCAATTTAGCCTCACCTCACTCCTTAAAATCTCATGGGAATAGGTAGATTAGTCCACAGTTTAGCTAGATTTTCACTCCCAAGCTGGTCTTGCACAGAATTTCAGCTTTAATTCACTATCAGCCATGCAGACTGCTAGGGAGAGAAAAAGGTTGCTGCTGGGTCTCTGCTCCGTTTGAAGGCTTTTGCTTTCTCTCTCTTGCAAGTGAAACTGGCCTTGGAACCTGTAAAATGACTCTGTTGCAGTGCCTGGTCTTCTACACCTCCAGCGATGGAGAGGAGATCTTTTTCTCTAGCTACCTTGTGGTTTCTCGACCTTAGCAAGAGCGAGGCACTTCTAGGGATTCCTGCCTCCCTTGTCATTTCCTACTCCCCGTTTTGCCGAGAGGCAGTGTTAAAGACTGTTTTCACAGATTTTCCTCCGACCTATTCCCTTTGAGAACAAGAAAATGGCTGTGACAAATCCAGATGTTCTTCCTTTTTGTTCTAACCTGATAGGGCAGAATCAGTGTCCCTGTCAGGGTCAGTTCAAATTGACTGGTTGCCAGGGATTAGTGAGAGGAGACAATCCTCTACAGCTGCCCTGCGTTCCATCTGATCCTCAGATGATGACTTCATCAACTTCTTGTCTGCAGTGGTTTGGTCTGATAATGTGGTAATGTACGTTGGGACTGATGCGTCACACGTGGCATGTATCTCAACTCAAGGCTGCTGGTTCATGGGACATACCCTTAGTACAATAGGCACCCATGTATTGCTGAGTGAGAGGGTTGCTAGTGCCTGCAGGGTTTATTACTCTTGTCGCCGCACAGAACTTGTAATTAAAGTATTTAACAAAAGAGATTTTAAACAAAATAAAACAAGGAAATTACACGTGTGCATGTGAATGAGACAATTGGGTGTATGTGTCAGAGGAGCAGGAGAATTAAACTCCAAAATGTGTCTCAATTGCTAATAAGCACACATTGAATAATATGGGCAGATCTTCTCCTGGACATTTCTACTCTCAGCAGAAGAAATAAACTCTTGATACCTCAACTCTAGATATTTGAATTTCCAATGTGTCATGTGGGCTACCTCATTCTAGTTCAAGTGTAAGGTGAAATCATTGGTGCCATGTCAACATGTCCTGCCGTGTGCCTTCCCACCCAATATCTGATTTAGCAGCAAAACATTGTTTGCTGTACATCCAAACCAAGGAAAATTGTTTTTCTTTCAAACCCAGTTTAGATTAAACTGCAATTCTGGTTTGCACAGAACCTGTAATTTGGGTTGTTGTGAGTTTCCCAGGCTGTATGGTCATCTTCCAGAAGCATTTTCTCCTAGCGCTTCACCTGCATCTTTGGCAGGCACAACCTCCGAGGATGCTTGCCATAGATGCAGGCAAAATGTCAGGAGAGAATGCTTCTGGATCATGGCCAGACAGCCCAGAAAACTCACAACAACCCTATCAGGTAGTTCTTCTGGGTGTTTAGGTTGAATCTTTTTTCTGTGGTTTGAATCCTAAGTCTCCAGAACAACCCTGCCCCTTCCTCAATTTAACATCTTTCCAAATATTTTAAAATGGCAATCATCCCTCTCAGTCTGCTTGTCTGAGCCTGGTTGAATGCAGCAATTGTCAATCAGCAGAGCCACAAAAAGGTGAGGCTTCTGAGGAGTGGCAACTGTTGGAGTAGCTATAAACAATGGCACTCCATTAATATGCAGGTTTCTCGGCCACTATTTTTTATGGAAACACTTGGCTTTAACTTGGAGCTTATGTTTTCTACTATTACAGTAATTCTCAACCTGTGAGTCCCGAAGTGTTTTGGCCTACAACTCCCAGAAATCCTAGCCAGTTTACCAGCTATTAGGATTTCTGCGAGTTGAAGGCCAAAACCTCTAAGGACCCACAGGTTGAGAACCACTGTAAAAATCACTATTGTAATATTCTTAGGATATAAAGATTGATGGCACAATTCAAAAATGGTTTGCTTGAAAGATGGGCTTCCCTACATTTCTCCATTGTACAACTGAGAATGCTGTAATGCAGAGATCTGCTAAGTACCTATTAAAGTGAAGCTAATTGAGCTCCCCCCACAGAACTATTTCAAATTGTGTTTGAGGGAAGATGGCAGCATATGAAGTATAGTCCATATCTCTGTCTTCTCTTAACATGGGCTAGGCATTAAAACATGGTGTGTGGTGCTCTGTGCCTGTAAGAGCCCTTTTGAGAGTCTTCGCCTCTAATTTGGAAGCTTTCTCCACTAGCCTAAAGGGTTGCTCTTGGGAGAAAGTCCTTATTTTTATAGCACTAAAATTTAACCGGAGTATGAAGGGCACTTGGTTCACTGAGCAACATACAACATTGATTTGTTATTTAGGACAGGCTGGGTTCTAGTTATATTCATTGTCTCTAAAATGCCAAGTTGAGAAAAGCAAGGGTACTTGGCTGCAGCAGTCTCCAAAGAATCACACCAGTGTTTGGTTGTGCTGTGAGTCTTTTATTGGTTTTCAAAATGTTCACAGGCAAGAAAATGGAAGATCCACAGAACGGGGTCATAGGAAGTGCCTTTGGATCTCTTTCCCTGTAATAGCGAACTTTTCGCAGAAGAAGCCAGCTTCAGAAGCCCTGCATGCAAGCTGTGAAATGTGCAGCTAGCTGCCAGAGAATGGCAGCTAGCGGTAGTTTAGCAGAAATGCACCAGTAAACTGGGATGGATCAAGCTGGAATTGCAGGAAGATGCTTTGAGATTAAAAATAAGTCAGGTAATATGTAGCAGGACACCAACAGGGCAAGGAAGGACAAGAGGTATAGTTTGAAAAGGTGAAGTAAGGAATGACAGGGAAGCAAGCAACCTTACAGGGTGGGAGAGTGATCTCTTTGGGTCATCTATATGTATGCGGGGCGGGGTGGGGGCAAAATCTGGCAACTGTTGGGCAACACCCAACATTCTTTGGGAGCACCAGATTTGGGGCAGGGGGATTCTAATACAGGCAGCCTCCAACATAGTACAGGGTGAGACAACAGGAAGTGAGAGAAATCTATCCCTAAGAAGGAAAAAATCTCTCCTAAAAGTGTTATCATGAGGAAAAGGTATCTCCGCTGAACCTTTATCAGCAATCCTTGTTTCCACAAGAAGCCACATTTTTCAAAATCCAATTCCAACAGTCTCGCTTATCCAGCGTTCTGTATTATCCAATGCAGTCTGCCTCCCAGTCATTACTACATAACGTTACTGTGTACTGAACTGTTTTATCTGTCGATTTGTTATACAACATGATGTTTTGGTGCTTAATTTGTAAAATCATAATGTAATTTGACATTTAATAGCCTTTTTCTTAATTCCTCCTTATTATCCAACATTGTTGCTTATCCAGTTTTCTGTTTATGTTGGATAAGCGAGACTACTGCATCGCAGGGACAGAAATTGAGGTGAAATATTCTGAACAAGGGTACAGACAGCAAAGCAAACCCCGAGGAGTTTTAACCCTCCCCCTATGCTATCCAAGGCTAATATATATATTGGCTGGAGTTATACTGAAAAATATACCTGTTCCAACTGACATATACATTCAACTTAAGAACAAACCTACATAACCTATCTTGTTTATAATTTGGGAACTGCCTGTACGTGGTTTTGAAGATAGCCTTTACAGAATCTCTATCAGGGCAAATAGTCTTCAAAGACATCTGCAGGGACATAAACATTCTTACTAAGCCTGACTTGGTCCCCTGCAGCTGACAGTGGCATATAGGTGGGAAATAGAATAGAAGCAGCAGAAAGATGAAGACAAGTCTGGACTCAGCACTGGATTTCCCCCTGAGAAGTGCTTCTGGAAGGCTATGGGGTCATCGCACAGAAGGGACACAACCCAGCACAAAACTACCATGTGTTATATCCCGCAGCTTTACTTTTCACACCCACACATCCACATCCCCCTCAATGTCCTTTGTTCATGTCTTAGTATCCAACAAGCTTGTTCCATTGGATGGTGCTGAAGAATGGGTGTGACTTGATTGTGCTCACTCCATCTTCTCCAGACCCCAAACGTTGTTTGGGATCATATCTCAGCAGCTGAAAATAAAACATCAGATTGAGAGTAGTTCAGACTTCCAGTACATCCCAATTAGCATATTTCTTATAGCTTATTTGCCACCCCCTTGTGCCTGCAGGGCAGCAGCCTCACCTCTGAAAGCAGGGAGGAGGCAGTCTCGCTGAGATTTTCTGGAAGGTAGAGCTGCGTGTGAGGATGAATCCCTGAGGGGTGATTCTGGGATAAAGACTAAGAGAGGAAAATAGCTTTTTAGAAAAAAGTCTGCCCTGTGGCAAAAAATGCTGGGTATAGTAGTCTGAGAACAACTCAAGTTTACATCGATGGCCTCATTTCTAATAGACAAAATGGACTTGGCCAATATGTATTTTATCAGAACGAATACTGGACAACAAAGTAGTTGCAGTTGTCACCAAGTTAACACACCAAAATCATATGAGTTGGAATAGAACACAAGGACTATCCAGTTCAGCACCCCTGACAGATGGCCCTCCAGCCTCTGCTTAAAAACCCCCAAAGAAGGAGATTCCACCACACTCCAAGGCAGTATATTCCACTGCCAAACAGCTGTTACTGTCAGGAATTTCTTCCCAATATTTAAATGGAATATTTTCCTGCAATCTGAATCCATTATTCCATGTCTGGCTGTATCACAGCTGGTTAGGGCCGGGCTGTAGCATAGCTGGTTAATCACTAGCTGCAATAGATCACTGCTGACCAGAAGGTGGCAAGTTCAAAGCCCAAGTCAGATTGAACACCCCGACTGTTAAACCTAGCTTACTGTCCACCTAAGCAGTTCAAAAACAGCTGAGCTGTGAGTTGAGAAATTTGGGACTGCTTAAAGCGGGGAGGTATTTTACAACACCATAAAAATGCTGGTGATCAAAGAGCAAGGAGGAAATACGATCAAAAATGACTTGGTGTCATAGTGGATGAAGTGACAGCACCCCCTGTGGACGGAATCGAGCATAACCTCCAGACAGTGAAGTTGAAATGCCAAAAATACCTCTATCTATCTGTCTAAAAATGGCACTGAATGTTTGCCATGTATTGTGATCTGCTCTGTGTCCTCTTCAGGGTGAGAAGGGCAGAATATAAATACTGCAAAGGAATAAATACTAAAACATCCTAGTATCCAGATTAGCAAAAAGTAAGCTCGCCTCCTCCTCAAATGTGGCATCCTTTCCAATATTTAAACTTGGCTATAATGTTCCCTCTCAGCCTTTTCTCCAAGCTAAACATACCCAGTTTATCAATGCACTACCTTGCACCAGTTTTTCTGAATTGCCCTTCAAGATGCAGCACAATCAGATTACTCACCATTCCACTCAGTAACTCATAGAGAAGTGCCCCAAAGCTCCACCAGTCACAGGCTTCAGTTAGATCAGATATTCCACCCACCTCTGCAGAGAAAAAGAATGGGTTATTTATAGTATTTATATTCCGCCCTTCTCAACCCAAAGGGGACTCAGGGCAGATCACAAAACACTTATACAACAAACATTCAATGCTGATTGTACAATGACAAGACAGACAACAAATAGATATATAGATATAGATACACACACACACAGGTTTCCCCATCTTTTGACATCTTTGGAGGCTGTGCTCAGTTCCAGCCACAGGGGGGTGCTGTCGCTCCATCTACTTGCCAAAGAGATTTCTTTGTTCATAAACTTTCCTCCTTTTTCTGTTCAAACCTCAAATGTGGTTCCTATTTATCTACTCACAATGCTGTTTTTGTTCTGCTAGGTGGGCGGGGAGCTGGGCTGAAGGTCATAAGCTCGCCCTGACGGATCTTCAATCTGTCAAACTTTCGGTTGGCAAGATTTATTGCAGCTGTAGCTGGCAATTAACTTGCTATGCTAAAGCCAGCTCTTACTGTCAGGAAGTTCTTTCTAATGTTTCAGTGCAATCACTCAGCTCTTTTCCGGCAAAGCCTTGCTGTTGCTGAGAAGCCGAAAAAAGGACAATTCTATAATCAGTGCATACAATCAGTTATAAAGCAGTTATGAAAACCAAGTACTCCAGGAGCCAAATCTCTCTGTACAGCTGTAACAGCTTAGGCAAACTCTTTAAACATAATGCATTTACAGCAAGAAATGGGGTCCCCATCTTCCTCTCAGGGTTCAGGAAGTAGTGTGGTGAAGAGAGGATAAGCACATTCACAGCTACTAACTGTAGAAGCTCAAGGAAGAACAGATAATCTCTTACCTGGAGCACAATATAAATCTTCCAGTGCCTCACTGCAACACTGTGGTTCTACCTCACTCCACTGACCAAAATATGTAAGATGGATGTGACCTGTAAATCCACAGAACATTAAGAGTGATTATGTAAAGCTATGCATAGGAGTAATACATCTGCCTTTGACTTTCCTAAATAAAGACTTTTAAACCGTGCTTAGCAAACAGTGCTGTTGTCACCATAGAAAGAAAATGACATCAGAAGAATTAATCTGAAGGTTATGGAAGTATCAATGCTTTAAAACTCAACAAATTTCAAACTGCCACCCATCTGTTTGGTGCCCATTCTATTAAATGATGAAAGAGGACATCTACCCATGAAATAAGCCATGGGACTTGCAAAGAGCAAGGGGGCCTTTAACATTCAATTTTAATTAGTATGACACTGTTCTATGAAATCCTGTTTTTGGCAATCTTAGAAGGAGTGTTTAGATTTCTCAAAGATCTAATGCCTCACTCACCAAATGCAAATCCCAGGATTCCATCGACCGGTGCTAAAACAGTTACAGTGGAATCATAGTGCTATAATTATATCATGTGAAAAGGCCCTCAAACAAATGCAAGAGACATGGTTCAAATGACTTTAGCAATATTTAAAAACTGTCAAACTGAACAAACTATATGGTTTGGAAAAATTTTATTTCTCTTTTGCCTTGATGCTCAAAAACAAGCCTAATTCTACAACTCTTCTAAATCATGGACAATATGTTAGGGAAAACAAACCTAAAATAAAAAGCTTTCCTAAAAGCTTCCAAAAACAAACATGATACAAAAGTTAAGCATTCAGCTCATTAGCAAGCAGAGCATGAAGTACCGTGTGAAGTGGCTGTAAAGAATTCGGAGCTTAGGAGGCAAACATGCAGTCCAATCTTAAAAATTATAAAACATTTATTTACAACTAGCAGTCCCCTGCCACGCATTGCTGTGGCCCAGTCTGTGTATATTTGTTTTATGTGTGTATATGTGTGTGTATATATTTGTGTATATGTGTATATATGTCTGTTTACGTGTGTATGTGTGTGTAGGTGTGTATAAATGATTTTGCGCATGGAAGTAATTTTTTTTTTTATTTTTTGGCTTTTTAAGTCTCTTCTGCGGTGTTGTTGTAGGGTTTTTCGGGCTATATGGCCATGGTCTAGAGGCATTCTCTCCTGACGTTTCGCCTGCATCTATGGCAAGCATCCTCAGAGGTAGTGAGGTCTGTTGGAACTAGGGAAAAGGGTTTATATATCTGTGGAATGACAAAGGACTCTTGTCTGCTGGAGCTAGGTGTGAATGTTTCAACTGACCACCTTCATTAGCATATAATGGCTTGACAGTGCCTGGAGCAAACTTTTGTTGAGAGGTGATTAGAGTTTTTCAGTGTTTTTATGAGTGATGGTCACTTGTTGGCCCGATACGTGTATTGTGTCCAAATTTGGTGTCAATTCGTCCAGTGGTTTTTGAGTTATGTTAATCCCGCAAATGAACATTACATTTTTATTTATATAGCTAATAAAGAACTACCTGCAAGAACTGGGTCTGAGCTATTCAAACACACATGTCTTCTAAGGTTTCAAGAGAGGGGAAAACTCAATCACTACATCTCTCCTGACACACAAGCAGAGACATTCCCAAAAAGAGTCATTCCCAACTGTCATTCAGGAGACATGGGAGAAGGGAAACCCTGAGTGTATACTAAACTAACTGCTCCTCATTGAGGACTTGAGACTTGGGCAGTGTGGGATCGAATTCCAACACCCTCCACATACTTATCAATAAACTCTTACCAGCATCATCTAGCAGCAGGTTTCGTGGGTTGAGGTCCTGGCATAGGATCCCCTGTTGATGGAGACCCTCGAGAGCCAAAATCAGTTCTGCTGCCCAAATTTGTACCTGATTTTCACTAACATACCAGGCCCTGGTGCCATGGTTTTGGAAAGGCTGATATGTTGTCAGCCCATATTGCTCTGGTGGAATTTGGCTTTTGTGCAATTTGCTATCAGGAGCAGTCTTTTCTTGCAGAGCGTGCCTTTCTTCTCTCCTGTGTGGTCTCTCCCATTGACTCTCCTGGCTGCGGTGGTTCTGGGGAGGTGTCCCAGGACACATTTGGCTTTGCCGTGGGAGAGATGCTGGGTGACGCGAAAGCCGACAGAGTCTGCGACGCTGAGTGTCTGTCTTTGGCGTGTTGCACCCTCTTGCTGCTTTGGAGATGGGCTGGCTAGATCTTTCACCTGGTTGTATTGCTGGTTTCTGATGGGGACTGTCTTTCTCAGTGATGCCACCAATTGCAGCAAGTGAGTTACATGACTGGAAACTTAAACCCTGGTTGGCCGAGCGGCTACGTCCCCGAGGTGCTGGTTTGAAGTTAGATTCTGTAGCAGCAGATGAAGTGTTTGTTGTGCTTGACTCCTTTCCCCCATGGACTCCCTGCCCCCTGAATTCAGTTGTTTCCCTGGTGTGAGTGTGGCTGGGCGACTCCTTCCGAGATGCACTTGTCAACTGACCATGATTAGAGCAAGCAGGGATCTGGCCAGCATTGTTCCTGGTGTGGACACTGCAGTTCTGCTGAGACCTAGTCTTGGCTTCTTGAGGGCTTCCTATGAGCTCTTCCTCTCTGGTGTGCTCTGTAGCCAAGCTGAGTTTTGGACTCCCCGATGGACAGGAGCAGTCAGAGGCATCATTCTGCTGGGAACGAGGCTGCGAACGAAGATGGGACCAGAGGGTTCCTCCTGCAAGGGATGAACAAGGAAAGACAACAAAAAATGGCTATCTGAATCATTTTAGCTGCAGGTCTCCAACTCTCTGACAAATATGTTTCTTCCCCGGCCAGCCTTGTCACTACAAGAAGATTCAGACATCATGCCCAATGGTCAAGGATTTGCTGAAAGCCATCGTTTTATGCTGCAAAAGAAATAACACTGGCCTGCGTAGTTTTTCATCATTTTTACCATTTTGGTCAGATTTTCACTATGCACATGTGGCAGTGTATGATACTAGTTTGACACTGGTCTATAACTGGGAGACTAGGGTTTGAATCCCTGCTCAGCCACAGAGATCCACATTCTCTCGCCTAAGAAAAAGGTGGCGGCGAGCCTCCACTGAATAAATCTTGCAAAGACAATGCTGCCTCTGTATTGTCATAAGTCAGAGTCAGTTTGAAGGCACATAATAGAAACATGGTAGAACAGCCACATATGAAGGCAAAAGCAAAATCCCTTTGAACTAATAGTAAAGGTAAAGGTTTCCCCTTGACATTAAGTCTAGTTGTGTCTGACTCAGGGGGGTGGTGCTCATCTCCATTTCTAAGCCAAAGAGCTGGCATTGTCTGTAAACACCTCCAAGGTCATGTGGCCAGCATGACTGCACAGAGCACCGTTACCTTCCTGCCAAAGTGGTACTTCTTTATCTACTCACATTTTCAAACTGCTAGGTTGGCAGAAGCTGGGGCTAACAACGGGAGCTCACCCCACCTTCGTTCAGCAAGTTCAGCGGCTCAGCGGTTTAACCAACTGTGCCACCGGGGGCTAATATTGCCAGGAAAATTCAATGATAGGGTCATCTTGGGATCATCATAAATAAGAAATGAATTGAAGTTACAAAATAACCACAGCAAGGGATGGAGGGGGCATTGGGAGGGGTGCATTACAGAACCCCACTCTTCTCTGACCCTGACAAAAGAAGAAAATATATGCAAATCTTAGAGGTGTTAGAGTGATTTCTTCTCCCATTAATAATGTCAAAGGGAGGGGAAATGCTCAAAATGTTAAACTGAAAACTTTTGTTCTGGACCCACCCCATTTCTGCTCAGTCTGTCGAGAGCTGGCACAGCTTAGGAAGCATCAGCTTGTCCACCATGATTCCTCCCTACTCTCAAAGGATTGCTGAAGAAGATAAGCCTTTTATCTTCATCTGAAGCATTTGCTCATTACTGGAAACTTTTATTATTATTATTCTGTGACAGCTTGGTTCTTGACTGTGTCAAAAGCCATCTGGTAGTCAGCAAGCCAGCTGACGTAGACCAACATGGCCCAGCCATAGATGGTGGATCCAGAGAGGTCAATGTCAACATTACAGCCAGGATTTATGTACTCCCATCTGTAGGATGTCTTCAACTTTCCACTCTTCTTGATACAAACATGCTTTCAAGGTCCATCTTTAGACCTTCAGCCAACTTATCCTCCATGGTTACCTCTGTCCCCAAGGTGTTCTATTTTTGGGAAACATAATTCCATAGTCCTTGAATTTATATTTCTCTAAGCTGCCTGAAGCTTTCCCTGTGTCTGTGTTCAACGAACCAACAATGTCATGCAGCGGCAAAAAAAGCCAATGGGATTTTGGCCTGTGTAAATAGGAATCTAGTGTGTAGATCCAGTGAAGTCATGCTACCCTTCTATGCTGCCTTGGTCAGATCTAGAATACTGTGCCCAATTCTGAGCACTGCAATTTAAGGGAAATGTTGATAAGCCGGAATGTGTCCAGTGGAGGGTGACTAAAATGATCAAGGGTCTGGAGAACAAGCCCTGTCAGAAGCGGCTTAAAGAACTGGCCATGTTTAGCCTTCAGAAGAGATGGCTGAGAGGAGACATGAATGGCTATGTATAAATATGTGAGGAGGAGTCATAGGGAGGAGCTTGTTTTTTGCTGCCCTGGAAACTAGGATGTGGAACAATGGCTTCAAACTACAGGAAAGGAGATTCCACCTGAACATTAGGAAGAACTTCCTGACTATGAGAGCTGTCCATCAGTTGAACACTCTGCCCTGGAGTGTGGTGGAGGCTGCTTCTTTGGAGGCTTTTAAGCAGAGGCTGGATGGCCATCTGTCGGGGGTGCTTTGTGTGCGATTCTCCTGCTTCTTGGCAGGGGGTTGGACTGGATGGCCCATGAAGTCTCTTCGAACTCTATGATTCTATGAACCACTGGTGGTAAATTCCACTTCACTGGATGATTTGCCTTCAACTCTAACTTGACAATTCCAAACCCATATCCTTTGTTGAATATATTCCTAGCAGCAGGTCACAATAAGATGGTGGGGCTGCCATGGGGTCTGGTGCTCTAGGAGAACAGCTGAACAGGGTTGCAGGCTTCTTATTTCACAATATATCTCCTAAATCATTTACTTCTCAATGTGAACCTATAGAAGGATTCTCCTCTAGCTCTTATGTACACTTCAAGGGCTCGGCTCTGCCTCCGTCCATCTCCCTTGGCCCAGCTGAAGGTCTTGCCTCCTTATTGGAAACTACTCTTAAAACTTCAGCAGGTTATCTGCATCCCAGACACAAGGACCCCTATTCAGGCACATTCAGTCTGTTTTTACATCTTCCTCTCTTGCCTCTTGCTTGCTCTCATGACCAATCTGAATCTATCACTGATTCCATAATTTATTTTCCATTGTCTTTCCAGATCCAGTGTGTTGGGCATAATCACTTATATTTTTCTCCAACATACAAAACAATATTAGATAGCTCCGAGCAGTGTTGGATTTAGGACAAATGGGGCCTTCAAGTTTAGAATTACACCACATAAGCAAAATCCATCATTAAAAAAAATGGGGCAGTAAGATGGGCCCCCCTGGTCAATGGGACCCTGTGCTTCAGCACACCTAAGCACAGTGGTAAATCCGGCACTGGCTCTGGGTTTCATGGGCTTTCTATAGAAAAGAACTATACACTTGGTGCCACTCACCTTTGACATGCTCCAAATGAAGGAAGATGGAGTCCTCGCTTACAGAGTAGCGCAACAATTCAGCCATGAAGGGGACTCCATGTGGAATTATTGTCTGTCTTCTACGGGTCTCCATGTGGGATTTGGGGAGGCTCTGAAAAACATACAGAGATTTAAAATAATTAAAAATATTTTTATTGATGCATACAATTTAAAAAAAATATTAAAACAACAAATAAGGGAAAACTACACAAAATGACAACCATATCAGAAAAATACAGTAACCGAAACTAAACCAACAAGGAAAATCATGTGTAAGTTTCTACTCAGTCGTTATAAGCACTAACAAACCTTACTTTCTATACATTATCTGTTAACTATACTATATATTTTAGTACTATTGTTCTTCAAATCCAACAATTGATACCACTGTCAATACCTTCTGATTTATCATAATATATAATGGTCTATCTTAGTATATAATAAATTGTATTTCCAGTAAATTTATCAAACATTAATAATAGAAAATTCACACATACTTTAAAGTACTCATAAGGTTCTAACCTTACAACCACTATTGTAATTTTTAATCATTCCAAGCTTCAACGTCTCTTATTATCAGATTATCAAATTATGATCACTTTGCATGTTAAAACATTTATATGAGAAATTGAAAAGTACTAATTAATTATTGTGACAGTAATAATATCTTCCCATAGTAATTCTGGTTCTATTTCCTGACATCTGCAAGCTACCATGAGCAAACTTTGGCTCACCCTCCAGGTGTTTTGGACTTCAACTCCCACAATTCTTAACCGCTAACCTTAAGAAGTAGGAGTTGAAGTTCAAAGCACCTGGAGGGTCAAAGTGCCCATGCCTGGTATATACATTGATTTAATACCACAATCCAGGGGTTCCCAACTTTGGTCCTCAAGGTATTTGGACTTCAGCTCCCAAAGACCCTGGCTGTTGGCCAAGTTGGCTAGGTTTTATGGGAGTTGAAGTCCCAAACACCTGGAGGACCCAAAGTTGGAAACCACTGCCATAGTTCACCCACCTCAAATTATACTTTCAACACCAGCAAATACAGAGATCTTGATTGGCTTCCTAGGGCACAATGGGGCTAGAAACGTCTCACAAATAGTCTTAGCAGGGCAAGAGCCAGGCTATCATTAAGCATACTGACAGGGGAACCTCATAACCGCAAGGACCATCATCCTCATCGCCTCTCTTGTTTGTGCAACTCCTCCTCACTTTCTGTCAAGCCACTGACACTTCAATGGCTGACATGGATAACTGTGCAAGGAATGGAAGCCTTTTTTTTTACCAGCTTCCATCACTAGCAGACGAAACCACTACCTTTCCACCAGAATGGAAGTAATATGATTATGAGTGGTGAGGAGAAGACAACCCAGTCCATTCTGGGATTGTTTTGCAGTGTTTTGGAGCATTTGAGGTCAAAAAATGCCCACATTTTAAAAAAATAGAAGTGGGGTTAGAAAAGGTGAATTTTATGTCTGTATAAAGAAGCACAGTCTGCATATTTTTACACAAGGCCAGCAGGACTTTTTTTCTATTGTTTGCAAGAACAGGAAGATGGGGTGAGGAGGAGGAGAAAGGAAACAAGCAGATGTGAAGCTTCAGAAAGGCAGGAAGGGGAAATAATGTTGCTTTTCAAGGGACAGAAGAGCTTGTGTTGTTGCTGGCTGTGCCTGTCCTGCAATAGGACACAATGGAGCTCCTACTGCACACACCACATAAAAATCCCCCATAGGTTTTCTAATACATTCTCTGGAGCAGTAAGAGAATAAGAAAATGTATTTATTCATTTAAGCATTTCATAGATGTCAGCTTTTGTCCCTTCAGGAAAAGTGTCCCCAAAAACATTTCCATAGATCCAACTTGGTGACTCTATAGAGCAATCAGAATTTAGCAGAACTCCTCTTATGTGAAAAGAAAAGTCTTATTTAGCTTCTTCCTACTATTCCCTGAGTTTTTGAAAAGCTATCTGCTGAGTTGCAAATCACAGAATCATAGAGTTGGAAGAGACCTCATGGAAATGTATGGCAATTTATTGCAACAGGGGGATACAAAAGGCATTATATGGCTGTGATGACCAACTGCTGGAGTTCATGTAAAGTAGTCCAATATTTGGTTCTGTGCTAACATCAAATGACCAATACAAAGGAAGGCAAGGGAAGGCACATACCTTCAGAATAAAGGTTCCTCCTGTGGCCGGGTCCTGCACAATTTGCACCTACAGGAAATACATTAGATTGACAAAGTGTAAAAACCTCTTTTTTGGCATGTGCTCCTTCAGTTTTCCAGGCAGCTAGAGGGGAGAATCTGGGAACTGCCCTCCAAATTTCTAGTTTGGAATAATATCAATCAGTGGCTGATACCAGATGAGAAATTCCCCCCTGGGCACACAGAAAACTGGACAGCCTGGAAAGCGCTGAACAGGCTGCGCTCTGGCACCTCGAGATGTAGAGCTAACCTTAAGAAGTGGGGCTACAAAGTGGAGTCCATGACATGCAAGTGCGGAGAAGAGCAAACTGCAGACCACCTACTACAATGCAACCTGAGTTCTGTCACATGCACAATGGAGGACCTTCTCACAGCAACACCTGAGGCACTCCAAGTGGCCAGCTTCTGGTCAAAGGACATTTAGCATAATGCCCAGTTTTTAACTTTGTTTGTGTTTTTAAATACATTATAACTATACCCTCAGCTCGCTTATGATATGGTAAATAAATAAATATGCCCCTAACTTGTGACATTAGAAATGCAAAGGCAAAAGACCAAGGACAGCACCCAGATTGTGGAATACATGCTTTATGTCGGCATGACCATTCTCTGTTATAAATTTTAGAAATTTGGTAAGAACCTTTGATTTACTAAGTCCAGATCATGAGAACAATGATTGATTTAACAATGCAACTAACATTTTCGCCTCACAATTTCCACACCAATCATTTACATATGGAAAGCAAGCCACTATTCAATTCAATAGGAACTTCTTGCAGTGCAAATTGTAGGTGAGGGAAGTGAACCAAAGTAGGACTCCAGCAAGAAGCACATGGTTTAAAGCCTCTTTTTTTACCCTTGCCAATTTAGATTCTTAATCTAGATTGGGTTTCTGGGAATAATTAAAAGCACCAATGCAGCTGCATGTGCCATATTAAAAGTACAGTTTTGGCTCAAAGTTTCATCAGACTCATTAAATTATATTGAGGACCTGGCCTAGAAAGCAGATGCTAAATAAATAATATATTTTATTAGGGTTCCAATGCCTTTTCATTACTATTGCTAAATCTATATAACATGATTACTTTTCTTCTCCCAAACAAGAAATATCCAATGCAAACAATTAAGTTACCTTATCAATTATTCCCACAACCTTGCAGCGTCTCAGGTTCTCAACTGGTGTGCTAAGTGTCCTGATTGGACGGAAGCGAAGGCTGCTGTAACCCTGCCAATCAATAAGAATTAATCCATAAGAATTAAGAAACATCTTCATTTGGTAGTGCAGCAGGTTAAACCACTGATCTGCTGAACTTGCTGACCGAAAGGTTCGCGGTTCAAATCTGGGAAGCTCCCCCGTTAGCCTCAGCTTCTGTGAACCTAGCAGTCCTAAAACATGCAAATGTGAGTAAATCAACAGGTATCACTTCTCTGGAAAGGTAACAGTACTTCATGCAGTCATGCTGGCCACATGACCTTGTAGATGTCTATGGACAACACCAGCTCTTCGGCTTAGAAATGGAGATGAGCACCACCCAACAGAGTCGGACATGACTAGACTTAATGTCAGGGGAAATCTTTACCTTTTATCTCATTTGAGAAACTACAAAAATGACATATCATGAAAGAAGGGAGTCAGAGATAAAATTCATTGTCCATTTACCTCTCCTCCAGAAGTCAATGGGATCTTTGCTATTGTGTGCCTTCAAGTAGCTTCTGCCTTTTGGTGACTCTAGGGCAGGCATGGGCAAACTTTGGCCCTCCAGGTGCTTTGGGCTTCAACTTTCATAATCCCTATAACAGCCAACCGACTTAAGCGGCTGAGGGGGGAAAGGAAGGGGCCTGAGGTTGTTAGGAATTGTGGGAGTTGAAGTCCAGCTCCATTCTATCATCTCAATTATGTTTGTACGCATGTTAACATTGAAGCCAACATCTTTCACCCAAAAAGTTAGAGCCATGCTATTCTAGAAGTTTGATGTCTCTCTTAATTATGTATCTTATACAAGGCTGGATTGAGTTAGTAGCAGCCCTGGAACAGTTCTCAAAATACCTCCTTTCCTGGATCACATATGCAAGCTATTTTACCAGCATTAGACCAGGTATGAGATAGTACCTTAAACATCAAGACAAAAATCTTCATTTGAAAATGCACTTCTCTACCAGTAAAGACACAGCAGAGAACTTCCTTTTGCAATGCTCAAGTTGGTTCTCGGTTCTCATTTCCTTATTTATGCAAAATTGAACTCAATTCATAAACAGAATAGGGAACTAAAGACCTGAATCAGTATTTACCATTAGTCCCAGTTACAGTAGACCTACTGAGTCAATGCAACCTACATACGTTTTGATTTATCAAGTTCCCATTAATTTTGGAGGGTCTAGTTCTAAGTGAGGTTTAACCTAATGCAATACATTGAGGGAAGTAGGGAGCATATATACTAGGCATGGGTAAACTTCAGCCCTCCAAATGTTTTGGACTTCAATTCCTAACAGCCAGTAGGAGGGCTGAATTTTGCCCATGCCTGATATATAGCTTTGAATCCACTTGGTATAATCCCTAAATCATTTAGAGATCATTAGTATGTATTTTTTTTCTGAAAATAAGAAAGTTTGGAGTGTGATCAGCTCTTTTTGTTTGTTTGTTTGTTTGTTTGTTTGTTTACTCTATTTGTATCCTGCCTTTCTCTACCCCAAAGAGGATTCAAGGCAACTTTACAAATAGCAAATATTCAATGCTTTTGAACAACAAACAGTTAAAATACATTAAGTTAAAGATTTTAAATTAAAATTAAATGCACATTTAAAACATATTAAATATTACAATCACTATTAAAAATCATGCCATCCACAATAGTAATCAGGAGCTGTTCCAGAAACCATTGCACATAATTCTTTAGCTATTATTGCACTGTAGTTAATCTCCAAAGGCTTGACCCCACTTTCTTTCTGAAGGTCAGGAGGGAGGGAGCTGCTCTAATGTCACTGGGGAGGGAGTTCCACAGCCGAGGGGCCACCTCTGAGAAGGCACTGTCTCTCATTCCCACCAGACGCACCTGCGAAGGAGGCGGGACTAAGAGCAGAGCCTCCCCAGACGATCTTAATCTCTAAGGTGGTTCATAGGAGGAGGTAAGTTCTGGCCATCGAGATGTTGCTGGACTGCAACTTTCAACATATTTCACCACTAGACAGGTGTCATGATAGCTGCAGTTGAATGACAAAAGTAGTTCATTCTTGTCCTTAAGCAATAGGCCACGTCTGGATAGGATAAGAGCTTGGGAAAAAACAATATCAGAACTATGGTTTTCAGAATGCTCCAGCTCTGACCAGTGGCCATTGCAACTGTGGGAACCTGGAGACTGTAGCCCAGAAAACTAACTTTTCCAAGCTCTGGGTAAGGTCAGGCATATAGCATTCTTACCTACTGTCCTGTAACCATTTGCCATATTTCAAAAGCAACACTATCAGGTCTCCACCTGGAAATTTATATTAAGCAAGAAGTCATTTTGCTAAGTGTCCAGATCCTCACCGTTTCAGCAGAACCTCCATTCTCTAGAGTCCGTTGCAGATGGCAATTGAAGATCTCTTCGGCACGCTTCAAATATTGGGTGATCTTCCTCTTCACAGCCTCACGGCGCTCCTTGTTAGGATCAACTGTGCAAGAGAACCATGTGCATTAATAATGTTTCATCCTCATAAATGAGATCAACTCTTCTGAACATCATACTGGCATTTTAACCAAAGATGTGAATTCTCCACAATCAAAATTCTCCACAATCAAACATGCTAGGCAATTCTAATTTGTACCACAATAAGCTTAATAAACTACCCACTATAAATTATTCACTTTTACACTTTCCTTATTTTTCATGCTTTTTGTTCTGATTTTGCTTGTTTTTCTGTTACCACCCAGCTATATAGATAGTTAAGAATTTAGTCCAATTAGTCAACAGAATAAGGTATGATAATAAAATTGCAATGTCCCCAATTGGTAGGATCACTGGTACCATTTCAGACTGTAGAAGTTTTCATTTTTTTCAAAAGCCTGTTATGTTAAAAAATGAAGAAACAAAATATCTCCCCAAGAAACAAAAATGGAGATGGTATGCTGGTTTGTTTGCTTTTTCTAACTTGCAGAGAGATTTCGTTTTATTTTTAAAATGTAAGGAAGCATTCCAAAACTGTATTGCCCACATAATGTGGCAGACCTTATGTTTCCTTTGACATTGTACATTCACTAAAAGGGGCAAAGCTAGGGATAGCTCTGTTGGTCCACACTTCCCACTACACAGCCATGTCAGACGATCCCTCCAAGACACAGGTGAGTTCTGTCACAGGAAATGGAGCATAGTTCTGATTCAGCAAAACTTCACATTTCACCTTGCCCAAAATTTGTCGTCTGTTGTTTTTTTTAAAAAAAAATTAACCACAGATGACCACATGTTAATAAGTTTGCTGCTTGGGTCACCTTGCACAGTCTCAAAGTCAAACCACTCCTCCTGGTTATGGAAAAACACAGATATTCTGGGCTAGCCTTCTATTCACAAGGGAAATTTACACTAGTTTGACATTACTTTAACTGCCATAGTTCCTTTATCTCATGCACAAAATTACAAAGAAATATCAGTATATGGTGTATACAAAGCATAAATGAATTCTGTGTTTAGATTTTGATCCCCATCCCCAAGATATCTCATGTTGGAAATTACAATCGTCTTCATGCCTCCTTTAGTATGTTGTGAGTTTTCCAGGCTGTATGGCCATGTTCTAAAAGCAGTCTCTCCTGACGTTTCGCCTGCATCTATGGTAGGCAGGTGAAACGTCAGGAGAGAATGCATCTGGAAAATGGCCATACAGCCTGGAAAACTCACAACAACCATGAAAGCCTTTGACAATACCTCCTCTAGTAATTTGTTTGTATATAATCCTGTTGCTTACTGTTGTGTATGCATGTTCTGGTATGCAGCTTCCTTTACTCTATGTTTTCCTGAGAAGTTGTGGGAGGGGCTGCAGACCACATGATCTGTTCTGAGACTGCTCAGACTTCAGACTCCATTAGACTTTAGATTGCTCAGACCACAGACTTGCAAACGCTTGCTGTTTATTGTAACAAAGTTGCCCTGTGCCATCTGCACACAGAGATTATCTTAAACATATCTGTAACTGGACTGATAAGTTGTGGACCTGAGTATGCTGAACACATGAAGTTGTGAGTAAACCAAATATGTTATTTTTACCAAATACTACTTCATGTTTGTCTTTTGAGAGCATAATATAAAACAAATTGTTTTATGGGAGAGTAGATATATTTTTGGGCACTGAAAAACACTTCTGAAGCACTGCTATTTTGTGCACTGACATATTCTGTTTCCTAACAGATCAGAGACAACATGTTATCAGTATAACAACTGAAAGCCAAATTGCCTCGCATAATTACATCTGGTTGTATACCACAAGAGAAGCTTCTACTCAAAATGAGTTTTGGTTCTTCTCTGAAAGATCATCCTTTTCCAAAAGGTTAGGATCTCCAAATGGTTATGTATGCCATTTTCCACAACATTATGTATTTATATGCAAATAAAGATATTCCAGAATCTAAACAAAATTCAAAACATTTCTGGCTCCAAGCATTTCAGAAAAGGGGTCCTCAATTGTAACAAAGAATCTTGAGGCACTCTCAAAGAAGAGATATGGGGCCTTGTATCTCTATACGTTGTATGAGATCAGTGGTTCTCAACCTGTGGGTGCCCAGATGTTTTGGTCTTCATCTCCCAGAAATCCTAACAGTTGGTAAACTGGCTGGGACTTCTGGGAGTTGTAGGCCAAAACACCTGAGGACCACTGTTAGATGGTTTTTCCCATGCATGTTTCTCCAATCACCACTCCACCTTCCTGCCATACCTTGGACTCCATTGAGCAGCACATCCACGCCATTCTTGTAATGATTGAAAGCTTCTTCGTAGTCCTCGCTGACATCCCGCTCCAAAGCCAGGCGGATCTGCTTAGCGGCATCCACCAGGTAGTCACGTTTCACTGTCCCATGGACGTCCACGCCTCCTGGTGCCACACGGCTTCGGATCTGCTCCAGATAGACTCTGGCTTGGGAGAAGGCTCGGGTGCAGGACTCTGAATCCATGGGGCTCAAGAGACTCTCCGGTTAAAACCCAACCATTCTTAAGAAATCCTTGTCTGCCTGTTTCCTGTAATTCTGAAGACAAAGAAAGACTTAAAGACAGACCAAAGGAGGGTAGGTTCAATAGTCTGGAGAAACAACAATGGACTTTACAGACCAGAGATGGGATGAAATTGGAAACAGAACCTGTGTGTTCTCGGGGACAGTAATAACAGCAATAAGGGTTGGTTGAACTTCATGACATGCAAGATTATCAATGAAGAAGTAGTTGCTAATAAGTTTGTGCTCCCTATATAAAAAATAAAAGTGCTGGTTTCCGTTAACTTACCCATGTATTCTCATGTCCACATTTATAAATTTCAGTCTTTATAAAGAGATTATATCCAAAAATATAGATTGCTGTTGTTTTAATATTTGGGATCTAGTTCAGTTTATATAAAAATGAAAACTTTTCCAAGCCTCAAATAAGGGGAATCTCTTGTAATAAGGGACAGCTGGCAACCATAGGCAGGATAGACATATTGTAATTAATAAACAAAGAGTAAAACGGTGCTGAAGGTAAAAAGTCTATGCAAAGGAAAGGGGATTGTTACCCAATGAGATATATTCTGGACCTGTTAGGCAGTCTGTTGATGACAGTGGGGATTCTGGGCCTGCAAACCAGCAAGAGGATCAGGAGATTCTAAGCTCTGAGAATGAGAGCAAGGGAGGCCACATTCCAGAAAGACAGTTCCCTATAGATGCAAGGTCAGAGGCTGAACTGAGCTCAGAGGAGGAAGATGCAACTCCAGGTGGACAGTCTAATGAGCAGCAGTTAGATAGGAGACTGATGTTCCATCAACACAGAGTTTCTCATGAGACGGTATGAAGATCAAGTCACTTATTAGCAAAGAAGCCTTTATCAGCTTTCCATAGGAAATGGCACGGTTTTCTTTCTATATTGGAAGCACCAACAGATCATTTCCTCAGTCCAGACAATGTTGATTTTGGAGTGTAGAACTCTTGCCAAGTCAAGTCTTCTAAGGGATTTCTAGTTCCAGGTTTCCTTATGTTCATGTTTCTTGCTTCAAGTTCCTAAGAATTATTCCTGTATTGCATGCTTTGGATTTATCCTGCTTTTGTATTCCTGGGTTCTGATGCATATCAAGTACTCTGAGGATTATTCCTGTTTTTGGATACTGATTTTACACTATTTTGCTGAATTGCTTTATATATATATTCTTCAATACACTGCTGTGCTATTTTACCTTGGACTGCTTTGTGCGTTAAGCACAGAGATGAATCCCAGTCCTGAAGTGCAACAGGCCCTCGAGGTGTTTTGGACTTCAACTCCCACAATTCCTAACAGCCTCAGGCCCTTTCCTTTTTTCCCCTCAGCCGCTTAAGCAGGCTGAGTAGGAAACATGCAAGCAGATCGACCCTGGGCTGCAGTTTCCGCCAATTGTGGAGGAAGAAACAAAACGTCAAGAGGCTATTTCTGGTTCTTGCTGTCTGTGGGTGGGTAGCAAAGAGGAAATGCAACCAGGGCTGCTCTGATAGGGCCTGGACAGTCAGTAGATCCTTCCCAGGGCCTTTGAAGCTGCTGCTAAAGATAGCGGGTGGCAGATGCAGCTGCAGGGGAGCCAGGGCTGGAGGGTAAAGGATCTCTCTAGCCACAAGAGACCCCTGAAGCCTTCTCATCATCACCATCTCTTCATCACCATAATTATAATGCATTTATTTGTTACCCACCTCTCCTCAAAGCTCAAGGAAGGATGCAACATCCTTAAAATAGATATAAAACCATTAATAAAGGTAAAGGTTTCCCCTTGACATTAAGTCCGACTCTGGGGTGTGGTGCTCATCTCCATTTCTAAGATGAAGAACTGGCATTATCCGTAGACATCTCCAAGGTCATGTGGCCAGCATGACTTCATGGAGTGCCATTACCTTTCCTCATAAGGGGTCCATATTGATCTACTCACATTCACATGTTTTCAAACTGCTAGGTTGGCAGAAGCAGGGCCTAACAGCAGGAGCTCACCCCGCTCCTTGGATTAGAACTGTTAACCTTTTGGTCAGCAAGTTCAGCAGCTCAGTGCTTTAACCCACTGCACAACTGGGAGACTCTGTAAAGCCATTAAAACACATACAGTAGAGTCTCGCTTCTCCAAAGGTTGGATAAGCGAAACTACTGTATATTAAAGGACAAAAACCTAAGGTCAAAAGATCAAAACGCATGACAACCAAATCCAAAACTGGATCGACACTGCCATATAATCTGGTTTCAGAATGCTGACTGATATTAATTCTGAAACTGGGTTATATGGCAGAGTTGATCCAGCCCCAGTCAATTTTAAACTCTGAATATACCAATATGCTATAGTATAATATGCTGCAACATATACTAATGCACTAATGTAATGCAATGTAATGTAAAGGAGCCCCCGGTGGTGCAGTGGGTTAAACCCTTGTGCTGGCAGGACTGAAGACCAACAGGTTGCAGGTTCGAATCCGGGGAGAGTGCGGCTGAGCTCCCTCTATCAGCTCCAGCGCCTCATGTGGGGACATGAGAGAAGCCTCCCACAAGGATGATAAAAACATCAAAACATTCGAGCGTCCCCTGGGCAATGTCCTTGCAGACGGCCAATTCCCTCACACCAGAAGTGACTTGCAGTTTCTCAAGTCGCTCCTGACATGACAAAAAAAAAGTAAATTCATAAGTTTTCAATGGACTAGGACCTGAATTTGGCAGGCAAGAAAGAAGTCAGGCAAGGGCTTTGCATGCCAAGAGACTGAAAGGTGAAGGGAGGCATAGATTGGGAAAAGGCCTAAGTAAGAAGTGAAGGTACCATCACCAGGGGCTTTGAGGGAAGAGGCAGCATTTGTTTCCCTTGCTGCCTCTGGCTCAGCTTCTGGGGACGGCTTGGTGGTGCTGGACTCTATCTTGACTGGCCTCCATTTCAGCATCCTTGGGTCAGCACAGAGATGCCAACATTTGTTTCTTCCAGCCATGGCTCTTGATTCACCTGAGCCCTTTCTTGAGTGAACACTGCCACCCTGGTTTGGGGTCTCATTCTTCCCCTGATGGAACATCTGCTCTGTTAAAACTATTTTTAATATGTTTTATTGCATTTATATGTTTTAACTGTTTTATAATTGGATATGTTATATATATTATTTGTTGTTGCACTTAATTGCATTTATATGTTTTAATTGTTTTATAATTTGATATGTTATATTTATTATTTGTTGTATGATGTGGCATTGAATGTTGCCATAATCTGTAAGCCGCTCTGAGTGAGTCCCCTTCGGGGTTGAGAAGAGCGGGGGTATAAATACAGTAAATTAAAAAATAAATTATAAATAAAAGAATACAATTGATTCAGTTGAGGGCCCTTCCACACAGCCATATGAAGAACTTCCATGAGGAAGAACTTCCTGACTGTGAGAGCCGTTCAGCAGTGGAACTCTCTGCCCTGGAGTGTGGTGGAGGCTCCTTCTTTGGAAGCTTTTAAACAGAGGCTGGATGGCCATCTGTCAGGGGTGATTTGAATTCAATATTCCTGCTTCTTGGCAGGGGGTTGGACTGGATGGCCCATGAGGTCTCTTCCAACTCTATGATTTTATGATTCTATATAACCCTGAATATAAAGGCCGAAAACCCCATAATATCTGCTTTGAACTATGATATCTGAATTCACACTGCCATATATTCCAGTTCAAAGCAGAAATGGTTCGAATCCAGGGAGATGGGGTTGAGCTCCCCTTGTCAGCTGCAGCTTCCCATGCGGGGACATGAGAGAAGCCTCCCACGAGGATGGTAAAACACCAAACATCCGGGCGTCCCCTGGACAACGTCCTTGCAGATGGCCAATTCTCTCACACCAAAAGCGACTTGCAGTTCCTCAAGTCGCTCCTGACACGAAAAGGAAAAAAAATCTGGGATTTTATTCAGCTGTGTGGAAGGGGCCAGAGTTTCCCTTCGTTAGGATTAACAAGAGGATTAAAGGGAGTAGCTCAGTCGTGATGGAACCGGATGGGAGTGGAAACCACCGCAAATCCGAGAAGGTTGCCTCGCTGGTGGTGACAAGATAAATAAGGAGCCTGGCCATCCTTTGGGAAAGCAATCAAGGGATGCAGAGAGAGAGGGGAGAGGGCAGATGGGAGGGGGCGCCTCCCTTCACCTTCACTGGAAAGGATCAGGTCCCGGGATGACGTCAGTGCGCGGGAGGGAGGGAGGAGAAGGGGAACCCCCTCCCCTCCCCCTTCCCCAAGGGAGGCTGAGCAATTTAAGGTTACCTAAAGCAAAGCGTGGCTCCGGAGCGGACGAGGGCGGCCTCCTGCGCCACCTCCTGCGCCCATCTCTTCCTCCTCCTCCTCCTCCTCCGAAGGACCAAGCTCAAGCCGACTGCAACCTGCCCGTCTGCGGGGGTTTCCATCACCCAAGCCTCCCGATTGGCTGAGGATGCGCTCATCGCCGCAGCCGGTGGGAATAAAGGACCAATCGGCGAGCGGCTGAGCCTCTTAAAGGGGACGCAACTGCAGCAGCCCCAGGAGGGGGAGGAGGAGGATAAGTGGTGATGATGGTGAAGATTTATGTTGCCAGGAGCAGGGAGAGGAGGCAGCAAAGCAGCCCCTCCTATTCTTCTCCATGGTGTTCTTTACTGAATGGTTCAAGCAGGGCATTGCAAAGAGACCACCATCTCCCAAAGCAGTTGCTCTACTCTGAACTCAAGAACGGAAAACGGAATGTTGGTGGACAGGAAAAGAGATTTAAAGATGGGCTCAAAGCCAACCTTAAAAACTCTGGCATAGACACTGAGAACTTGGGAAGCCCTGGCCCTTGACCGCTCCAGCTGGAAGTCAGCTGTGACCAGCAGTGCTGCAGAATTTGAGGAGGCACGAATGGAGGGCGAAAGGGAGAAGTGTGCCAAGAGGAAGGCGCATCAAGCCAACCCCGACCGAGACCACCTTCCACCTGGAAACCAATGCCCTCACTGTGGAAGAAGATGCAGAGCAAGAATAGGACTCCACAGCCACATACAGACCCACAAGAATATTGGAAGACAATCGTCCTCGGAAAGCGAGGGATCGCCTAAGAAGAAGAAGCAAAAAGGTTCTATCATAGCAGGAGTTTTGAAGAATTTTTTAGAAATATACAGTCACAGGGCTGAAAGTCCTGTGACCATTACCAGGCCCAACCCTCTGCTCAGTGTAGGATGCTCCACAGGCAGCTGTCCAGTGAACACTTTCAAAAACATTGGGAGTTTTTTTGCCATCAAGTCAGCTTTGACCTATAGCAGGCCTGGGCAAAGTTGGGCCTTCCCGGCTTAAGCAGCTGAGGCTGTTAGGAATTGTGGGAGTTTGAGTCCAAAACGGCTCTCCATGCAGTCATGCCGGCCACATGACCTTGGAGGTGTCTATGGACAACGCCGGCTCTTCAGCTTAGAAATGGAGATGAGCACCACACCCCAGAGTTGGACACGACTGGACGTAATGTCAGGGGACAACCTTTACCCAAGTCCAAAACACCTGGAGGGAAGGCCCAAGTTTACCCAGGCCTGGGGTAGATGCATAACTCACAGGGTCTCCTATTATCAAGTCCTGTAAGCTCATGGCTGTGGCTTTCTTGACTAAGCCTACCCACCAGTAATGTGGTTTTCCACACAGCCCTATATCCCAGAATATCAAGGCAGAAAATCTCACGATATCTGCTTTGAACTGGGTTATCTGAGTCCACACTGCCATATATTCCAGTTCAAACAGAAAATGTGGGGTTCTCTGACTTGATATTCTAGGATATATGGCTGTGTGGAAGGGCCCTGGGAGATCCTACCAGCAGCAGTGCTACCATTGAATTGTTGGTTTTTCCCTTTGTAATATAACTCTTGATTTAAAGCTTTCAGGTCCCGTTTATTATTCATCTTAAAACTATACCACCCACTTTAAATCTGTGAAAGATTTCAGCCTCAGGAAGAATACTGGGGGAACTGCCATTGCACAATATTATGAAATCATGGGGATTGTAGTTTCATCAGTTCTTTAATCTTTCCTGCCAAGGAATTCTGGTGCCCCACCAAATAACAAATCCACTAGCATTGAGCCATGGCAGTGCAAGTGGTGCCAAACTGCATTAATTTTACAGTTAGATGCACTCTTGTTGGTTCTTCAAAGTTTTTTTTTCCAGAAGATGTCTGACAGTTTTCAAAATAGGAAACATACAACATTTAATTTAGAATTTATTTGGAATGTTGCTGCGGCATTGCACTGAATGGAAAAGCCAAGACTTCAGCCCCACTTTACCCCACAGAATGAAACACTCTTCCACAAGACCAGAATAAATATCAAGTTGCCATCCAGTGGTTGTAATATAATCACAAAACCCATTCAAAGATAAGTTTAGTCATTCAATATGTGCTTATTATACTGGATACTGCAGAGCAAATTTACTAATGTGGTAAGTATGCCAGGGACTACTCCGTTGTCTGTTTTCACTAAGAATGTGTCATAGATATGAATACAGGGAGAAAACAGTGCTGATGCTGAGTTGCTGTGAGTTTTCTGGGCTGTATGGCCATGTTCCAGAAGCCAACCTTAAAAACTCTGGCATAGACACTGAGAACTGGGAAGCTCTGGCCCTTGAGCACTCCAGCTGGAGGTCAACTGTGACCAGCAGTGCTGTAGAATTTGAAGAGGCATGAATGGAGGGCGAAAGAGAGAAATGTGCCAAGAGGAAGGCGCATCAAGGCAACCCCAATCAGGACTTCCACCTGGAAACCAATGCCCTCACTGTGGAAGAACATGCAGATCAAGAATAGGGCTCCACAGTCACCTACGGACTCACCACCAGTACACCAATCTTGGAAGACAATCCTATTCTGACAACGAGGGATTGCCTAAGTAAGTAAGTTCCAGAAGCATACTCTCCTGATGTTTCGCCTACATCTATGGCAGGCATCCTCAGAGGTTAAGCGGCTGTGGGGGAAAAGGAAGGGGCCTGAGGCTGTAAGGAACTGTGGGAGTTGAAGTCCAAAATACCTGGAGGGCCCGTTTGCCCATGCCTGTGTTAGAGAATAAATGGGGAATGGGGCTGGACCAGAACTGCCTCCATTTAAAAGCCTATCAAATTAATCCAGAGCCAACATCAGCTGTTGTCATGTGAAACACAAACTGGAAAAAGTTGCTTTCTGGACTAAAGAGACCAGAATCCTCCTGTTTTGGGAGAGGTGAAGTGGCCATGCTGGTTAAGAAATGTTTGTAGCCCACAATAAGCCATAATTCAATTGGGGGAAATCAGTCTGTATACTATCAAAGATACGTTTATTTATTCAGGACTGGGAGGCACCGTCTTGTATGGCTTCCAAAACTGACTCTTCCAGTCAAACAATTTGCACTCCTCGTGTACTGTTCTCCCTCTTCCAATCGCCATATTTCCAGGGCAAGGCAAGGCCTCTTCATGCTAAGGCTTCCTTTGGAACTTCAAAATAGGAAAACTCCTTCCACTATTTCCAAGATGTTCCTTGACAAGAAACCTTAGTTCAGTGTTTCTCAACCTGGTGGGGGGTCGGGAAGGAGTGTCAGAGGGGTCATCAAAGACCATCAGAAAACACAGTATTTTCTGTTGGTCATGGGGGTTCTGTGTGGGAAGTTTGGCCCAATTCTCTCATTGGTGGGGTTCAGAATGCTCTTTGATTGTAGGCGAACTATAAATCCCAGCAACTACAACTCCCAAATGTCAAGGTCTATTTTCTCCCAAACTCCACCAGTGTTCACATTTGGGCATATTGAGTATCCGTGCCAAGTTTGATCCAGATCCATCATTGTTTGAGTCCTCTCCAGATGTAGGTGAACTACAATTCCAAAACTCAAGGTCAATGCCCACCAAACCCTTCCAGTATTTTCTGTTGGTCATGGGAGTTCTGTGTGCCAATTTGGCCCAATTTTATCATTGGTGGGGTTCAGAATGCTCTTTGAGTGTAGGTGAACTTTAAATCCCAGCAACTACAACTCCCAAATGACAAAACCAATCCCCTCTAACCCCACCAGTATTCAAATGTGGGTGTATCAGGTATTTGTGCCAAATTTGGTCCAGTGAAGGAAAATACATCCTGCATATTTACATTATGATTCATAACAATAGCAAAATTACAGTTATGAAGTAGCAACGAAAATAATTTTATGGTTGGGGGTCACCACAATATGAGGAGTTGTATTGATGGGTTGCGGCATTAGGAAGGTTGAGAACCACTGCCTTAGTCCATCTATCAATTCAACAAAATTAAGGATTGTATTAGATACATTGATGCTGAAGAAGTATCCTTTCTTCTGAAATCCAAGTCCTTCACCAACAAAGTGTTCCCAGTGCAACCAGCTTGATGGATAACAAGACAACAACCTTGACTCAAGCCCTTCCTGTGTTGTGTCTTTTTTTATACCTCATTCTCCAGTAGGATATGTTGAAGCATCCAGACAGTTCAGTTTCAGTACTGAGCTGGTTAATTCCAGGTTCTTCAAACTAGAAAACATTGTACCTATCAGCAGGGACAACTTCTCTTTCCTCATACTTCCATTTTAATCCATGTTCTGCAGATATCCATGTGAAATATTGGTTATGTATAGGCAGGGCACAGATCTAGACAAACACACAGCTTCCTGTCCAGCTGCTGCATTTGCCTGGCCTGGCAACATGCTGTGATGGGATTTTAATAGGCACGTTCCTAATAATGGCCTGATATATTCCTACTGCAATGTTGTCTCTCCCCTCTTTTTTTTGGTCAAGACTGGCAAGCAAGGGAGCTGCTGGGACTCCCCTCAAATTATTCAGTCAAAAATGCAATTGGTTCATGGGTAGAGAAGTGTTGACGAGGACTGAGTAATAAAAGCAGCCATCGTGGCATTTGCCAGCCATCTGCTGACAAAGCAGCCATCTCCATCAAACGGTACACCTGGAAAGAGAGCACACCATTAGCTCAAATTCAAAAGGGTTAGGCATCCATTGCACATCTTGAACTGCATTTGTGGCTCTGTATGCAACTTGCTCTTTACTCTGTAGATGTTATTGTGGAATTATTTTTCGTGTCAGAAGCGACTTGAGAAACTGCAAGTTGCTTCTGATGTGAGAGAAACAATCAGAGCCAGCTAACACCTCCTAACAAAGGATTCCCCCAAGCAGGAAGCAGCCAGGCTTTGAACCTGCAAAGTCATTTACTGCTAATTAAGGTGGCCAGTTGCAACATTCACACTTGCCTCAAGCAAACAAGAGTTCTTTCTCCTATCCTTGACCTTCCACAGTTATATAAACTCCACTTGCCTAGTTACCAACAGACCTCACAACCTCTGAGGATGCCTGCCATAGATGTGGACGAAACATCAGGAGAGAATGCTTTTGGAACATAGCCTTACAGCCCAGAAAACTCACAGCAACCCAGTGAGTCCAGCCATGAAAGCCTTCGACACCACACTTCCTCAACTTGTTTCCTTCTTGGCAACTTGAACTACATCCACTATCATAGTACATAGTGGACAGATGGCCAGGTTGGATGGCCATCTGTCAGGGGTACTTTGATTGTGCTTTTCTTGCATGGCAGGGGGTTTGACTAGATGGCCCATGTGGTTTCTTCCAATTCTATGATTCACTACCATTCCTAAAGGCCCAAGTTATACTGGTTTATGGATGACAGAGGTTATAGCCTGGTTGATCTGAAAAGCTGGCTGATGTAAACAACAGTAACCACCATTTTTTCTAACACACTGCCTCTTAAACTGTAGGTCCCGACTCCAAATGGGGTCCCCTTAGATCAGGGGTCTTCAAACTTTGTCAACAGAGGGCCAGGTCACAGTCCCTCAAACTGTTGGGGGGCCGGATTAGGGTTATAATTTGGGGGGGGGGAAACATGAATGAATTCCTATGCACATCACACATACCTTATTTGTAGTGCAAAAAACACTTAAAAACAACAATAATAAAAATGAAGAACAATTTAAAGAAATATAAACTTAGTATTACAATGGGAAGTGTGGGCCTGCTTTTGGCTGAGGAGATAGGATTGCTGTTGTTGTTGTGTGCTTTCAAGTCATTTCAGACGTAGTTTGACCCTGAGTGAGGGCCGGGTAAATGACCTTGGAGGGCCGTATCCGGACCCCGGGCCTTAGTTTGAGGACCCCTGCCTTAGATCAATGTTGGGGTCCTGAAACATTTCTCTGCATGTCACCTTGTGGCTCTTTTAGACATTTACACGAGTCTGTTGTGCAGTGATTATGCTGGAATCTGCAGAAAAATCAGCCTGTTTGTCAAACCTTTCAAATGCTGACTTGTTATCAGTAAACATTTGGTTTTTATACCTATTTTATATACCAATATACCCAGGGTCACATAGAAATGTCTCAGATGGAAAGGAATCCCAAGTGGAAAGGCTTAAGAAGCCTTGGTCTAGTGCACTTAACCACTCCAGAAAAAAAGCATTTGTGGAGAAGTATTTATTTGCTCTGACTTAAGGGCGTCATTTAAAAGAAGTCAGAGGAAGCTAATGGGTACTAAAAGAATGCCATGTTTTCAAGAGCAGGATCTCTAACTGGAGAAGCAAATGTTAGCTATAGAGGCAATAGAAGTGCTGCATGTTTCTGATGTCAAACACAATGGAAAACCTGCTCCATTTGTCTCACATCCTTTCCATTATCCTCCCTTTCCCCTTAGATAAGGGCTCCAATCTGTTCAAACAGTTTCACTGTTTTTCCCTTCTGAAAGGTTAAAGTTTACTTTCTGGACAACTAAACCAAACAAATCATTCAAGCCATTAGCATTTGTTCTTTTAGTTTTTTAACTCAAGGCTTTAAGTGCTGTATAAAATAGAAAGATTTTATGGCTAAGCTTAAATGCATTTTAAGGAGAGGTTTTTTTCGTGTCAGGAGCAACTTGAGAGACTGCAAGTTGCTTCTGGTGTGAGAGAATTTGTCATCTGCAAGGACCTTGCCCAAGGGATGCCTGGATGTTTTACCATCCTGTGGGTGGCTTCTTTCATGTTCCTGCATGAGAAGCTGGAGCTGACAGATGGGAGCTCACCCCACTTCCCAGGAGCCCCCAGTGGCGCAATGGGTTAAACCCTTCCGCAGGCAAGACTGAAGACTGACAGATTGGAGGTTCGAATCTGGGAAGAGCGCAGATGAACTCCCTCTGTATGGACAACATCCTTGCAGATAACCAATTTTCTCACACTAGAAGCGACTTGCAGTTTCTCAAATGGCTCCTGACACACACAACCCTCCCACCCACCCCGTTCCCCGGATTTGTGTCAGAAGCTGGAGGCTTCTTAAGGAGAGATGCAACCTTTAATTGGAAAGTCTCTATAATTTGTCAAGTTGCCTCTGCTCTAGCAGGGTAGTCAGGCAACAGGAAAAACTCTTGAGGGGCCCTGTGGCTACAAAGGGGCAGAAATGCATCCCTATCATTATGAAATGTCACTTTCACTGCTTGAAAATGGTGAGCTTGATACTATACAAATCCTGTTAAAATGAAAAAGATGCCATGCAGTCCGGAAACCACACAACACCCCACCGATTTAACTGCAACTGGTTTGTGTTTTGTTGGTTTCAGTGAGACTTTGGATCCAATAACATTTATGCTGCAAAAGCATGCTCTGATCTGGGTTGACAGGTGGATGAAAAGATGAGGTGTGCTCTTTCCTAATTTTTCCCTTAGACATGATTCAGATGGTCTTCCAATCCTCCAGAGCAAATTTTGCAGGTGGGGCTAGGCCTATGCCATCAGCAGAAATGCTTCTCTGCACCCTCTTGCAAACAGAATGAACTATTCTATTTTTATGAGGATGATCATAGAGATAATGCTGCTAACTTTTAATTCAGAGGTGAGCCATTGCCTTAGAGATCTCCTCCCAATATATCTCTGCAAAAAAAATTGTTTTGGCTGGGAAATTTGTTGTAAAAGTTGGTTTCTATCTCCTCCAGAAAATGTTAGGCCTGTCTTACTCCAGGATATAATCCAAAAGTCACTTCTGGTTCACTTCCTTTTTCAGAAGTTCTCTAATGGATCTAAGTACAGGCCAAAAACATGGTGAAACTAGCTCCCACACCTTTACGGACATTTGCAAGAGCCCCTGATGGTACAATGAGTTAAACCCTTGTACCAGCAGGACTGAAGACTGACAGGTCAGAGGTCTGAATCCAGGGAGAGCGCAGATGAGCTCCCCCAGTCAGCTCCAGCTCCCACAAGTATAGTAAAACATCAAAACATCTGGGTGCTGCCTGGGCAACATCCTTGCAGATGGCCAATTCTCTCACACCAGAAGCAATTTGCAATTTCTCAAGTCACTCCTGACACAGAAAAAAATGACATTTGCAAGAAAGAAAAAACACATTTGATTTTTTTTAAGTATATGGTATATGAGGTATATGAGGCTCACTTTGTCCACCTTAGCTTTACCTGGGTTCGAACAATTCCCCTTTTGTTATTTCTTATACCTAAAATGTGTTACATAAAGTAGGATTTACACTCATGCATTTAAAGCCAATTTGGCATTATCCTCCATTAGGTGTGTAACAGTGTGGATTATCTTACTAGCTGGGAATGAAAAGAGAACCAAAAATAGGATTTTGATGGTTGCAGCAGCAACCTGAGCCATGCTTTTCCAGTCTGGGTCCATGATGGCACCATCACAAATATAAAAGCATAAGTCAAAGCTATGGAGATGGTGATATGCATGAAACGGGAGCCATATAGATACTATTAATATGCACAAAGTGGTATCAGGTTTCCAGAAAAGTAATAGGATTGTTCTCTTTGTTAGCTTCACATAGACAAGCTGGAGCCAAAGCAGGCCCTATGGGAGAAAAACTCTACCCGTGACACAACAGTATTTGTTCCTCCCCATTTTCCCTGATGTTGATACTCACACAGAGATCAATTTTTGATTTTCTGCTTTGCTCGCTTCCTCTTGCTGCGTCCCTTGGGTCTCCTCCTCCTTTTGGAGGAAAGAGAAGGGGGAAAGAAGAATGGGTGGGAGATGAGACACCGCAGAGAGTCCCAACATCCAAAATCCTTGGTAATGCCACTTACCTCCCTGATTTCAGAGCATCTTGCCGTGGCCTAGGCACAAGAAGAGATACACAGTCACATTTAGAACATGGTGCCTGTAACATGTAAAGATAGAGATTTGTGACTATGGAGACAGCAAAAATAGGGCTTATTTTTGGGGTCTCTGTGAGCAGCTTGCCCTATGGCTATGTGATTCCAACGCACTATTTCCAAAGCAAGAGAGGCATGGATGCACACTCTGAAGGAGCAGGTAGGCTCACAACAAGTCCCCGTGACAAATAAATGCTAGCTTTGAATATGAAGCTCTTGAATGTTCTCCTCTCTAGACATAAACATTGGTCCCTATTTCATGTTGGAACTGAAGCCTGGACCCAGAAAACTTTTGAGATTCTGACAAGACATAGAAAGGTGGCAATGGCACAGTAGGAAGGCTGGAGAGAGCCTCTTGAATCCCTGACAAATGCCCACAGCCCAACATAATAATGCTGAGCATGCAAAGTACTGAAACCCATTCATCCTCTAATAGTGGTTGCTGATGGCTCTCATGTCAGTGAATTTTGGCTTGCTTCAAAGGAGCTGTCCAAAGTGCTGGGGTTGTTTAGAAATATGCTGAAGCACCCCAGGAAAATCTTTGAAAGCCTAGATCAGTGTTTGTCAACCTTCCTGATGCTACAACCCCTTAATACAGTTCCTCATGTTGTGGTGACCCCCAACCATTACATTATTTTCATTGCTACTTCATAATTGTCATTTTGCTACTGTTATGAATCACAATATAAATATCAGATATGCAGGATGTATTTTTATTCACGGTACCAAATTTGGCACTAATACCCAATATCCTCAAATATGAATACTGGTGGGGTAGGTTGATTTTGTCATTTGGGAGTTCTAGGTGTTGGGATTTATAGTTAATTTACAATCAAAGAGTATTCTGAACTCCACCAACAATGGAATTGAACCAAACTTGGCACACGGAACTCCCATGACCAATAGAAAGTATTGGAAGAGTTTGGTGGGCACTGACCTTGAGTTTTGGAGTTGTAGTTCACCTATATTCAGAGAGCACTGTGGACTCAAACAATGATGGATCTGGACCGAACTTGGCTCAGTTAATCAATATGCCCAAATGTGAACACTGGTGGAGTTTGGGAAAAGTGGACCTTGACATTTGGGAGCTGTATTTGCTGGGATTTATAGTTCACCTATAATTAAAGAGCATTCTGAACCACACCAATGATAGAATTGGACCAAATTTCCCACACAGAACCCCCATGACCAACTGTGTTTTCTGAAGGTCCTTGGTGACGCCTCTGACATCCCCTCATGATCCTCCCGGGGTCCCAACCCCCAGGTTGAGAAACACTGGCTTAGATTAAAACCTGGAGTAGATTCATGGTCACACTCACATGGGAGACACCAGACACCACTTTATGGGTACAAATATTATCTTCAGAAGGAATTTGGAGCCTTTTCCTTCCTTACATTAGATGCCCTTAGATACCAAGGCTTCCCCAACCTTCTTCCACTTTCTGTTCTTGAATAAAGGACACATAAATGACCAAAGCTTGAAAATTTTCCAGAGGAGTTATAATTCCCAGGGATTCTAAAAGTTATAGTCAAAAAATGAATCTTCCCAAGTTCTGCATTAGACTAATTACCTATACACAACCCCTGTAATTCAAGTAAAATATCATTTGCAGTTTCAGGACACTATGACTCAGCTGCCCCAAATAGGAAAAGTCTCTTGGAATGGAATTTAAGGTATATTGGGGGGAAATGGTAGCCAGAAAAGATCAATGCAGGAAGTGAAAAGTGACTTCTGATGGTTGATTAGGAAGCAGGCACCAGGCAGGTTGATATTTTGAAAAGAGAGGCCTCTTTTCTTTTGCAGAAACAAAGATACACACTAAGTTACAAAGCGTGTTGTGCATACCAGCAGGGCAAGTAGGGACAAAAAGGGCTAGGAGTGATCTCACCATCCTTATATTTCTACTTCTACCAGACAGAGATCTGCTCTTTCCAAAGGCCTGATTTATTCTTAATTTATGTGAAAAGCATAATTACCATGGAAAAGCAGTTCTGATACTGTCTCTGCTTGTGAGAGCAAGATCACTAGTTAGAAATGAAGGGAATGTGTGCACTTGCATGTGTGTATTGCACAAAGGAATCAGAATATTCAATGTGAGGCTGTTTATATATTTCTCTATTGGGAGTGTCTCCCCCAAAAGTATCAGGGATGAACAACTGAGTTAGAAGAGAGGTTCCCTCTATACCGGGCATGGGCAAACTTTGTCCCTCCAGGTGTTTTGGACTTCTGGTGTGAGAGAATTGGCTGTCTGCAAGGATGTTGCCCAGGGGATGCCTGGAAGTTTTGATATTTTACCATCCCTTGTGGGAAGCTTCTTTCATGCCCCCGCATGGGGAGCTGGAGCTGACAGAGGGAGCTCATCCATGCTCTTTCCAGATTTGAACCTCCGACCTGTCTGTTTTCAGTCCTGCTGGCACAAGGGTTTAACCCATTTAAATAGCATAAATTAAATAGGATAGCCAAATGATGCATCCTGTGCCTAAAAAATAATTTATGCAATTGTAAAAAAAAAAAAAGGAGGGATTATGCATGTTTGCATCATTTGCCTATCCTATTTCATTTATCCTGTTTAAGTGGGTTAAACCCTTGTGCCGGCAGGACTGAAGACTGACAGGTTGGAAGTTCAAATCCATGAAGAGCATGGATGAGCTCCCTCTGTCAGCTCCAGCTCCCCATGTGGGGACATGAAAGAAGCCTCCCCGAAGGGATGGTAAAATATCAAAACATCCGGGCAACCCCTGGGCAATGTCCTTGCAGTCAGCCAATTCTCTCACACCAGAAGCAACTTGCAGTTTCTCAAGTCGCTCCTGACATGAAAAAAAAATCATGTTCTTCTGGCATAGGCTTTGGACTACCTAGACACAAATGGTAATGAGAATTATTGAGTGGTGGTGGTGGTGGTGGCGGCGGTGATGATGATGATCCAACACAAAAGAGCAGGATTTATTTTAAGTACCTGTTGAGGAGATTCAGCTCACCTTTAAGGAGTGGCAGAGTAAAGAGATCTAATTACTCAGGCCAGCTCAAGTTCTAATGGAGCTAATAAATCTTAATTATTTCTGACAAATAGTGTACACAGTGAGAAGGGTGCTTTGTGTTCCTGACCAATTGGCTACCAAAAAGTAAACACTGCGGGACGGCTTCCTGCTTAATCAGTTTCAAAGTCAACATTCTGACCCACAGAAAAGTTTAAATTAATGTCACTTCTGCTAATTTGTGTATGCTAAGTCTCAGCTGTCAAGGAACTCAATGAAATGGTTTCATTCCATTTCAATTCAGGAGATGTCGAGTCAAGCAAGCCTCCCTATGAAAGCAATAAAAAGGAAAGATGGGGCTATGAGAGAAAATAGATCTAGCAGCCCCTTTGAAATTTATTGATATATTTCAGGACAAACTTCTGTTGACTCAAGTCCACTTCTTCAGGCGTGTTTCATTTCTTCAGAAGATCTGATGAAATGGACTAGAATGCTGCTTATGCTGAAACATATTACCTAGTCTCTTCGGCATTACTAGATCCCTTTCCACCAACTTTTCCTTTTATACCAACATAGACTGAGATTTCCATTTGTTTTAAAGCAATGACAACAATGGAAAACATTACCTATTACATTACCTCTTTCTTTGGAGGCTTTTAAACAGAGGCTGGATGGCTAACTGTTGGGGGTGCTTTGAATGCAAATGTCCTGCTTCTTGGCAAGGGGTTGGATTGGATGGCTCCAACTCTATGATTCTATATTAGACCAACCTGTGATCTATGGACCACCAGTGGTCCACAAGAACAAAAATATGCTCAGCAGCCTCACCATTATTACACTGTTGCCTCGAAACCACGCAGCAACAAGAACAACTGGTCTCGCAAAACCCTCTTATAGTGCCAAGGCGATGTGGATGTTGGGAGGGGAGAAGCTGACTACTACCACATCAGCTTTAGATTATTAAATATGGTTTTCTGTGGTAACTACTGGATGGCATATGTTCTGTATCAGAAACTAGAGCTGATGTGGTCTATCCAATACAATTTTCTGAATCAGCATCCCAAATAACTAATCTGAATCTAAAGTTGACCAAAAACTGATTCATAACCCTTTTGGTAATAATGTTGGAGAGTAGTCCCTGGTCAAGTAGTCCCTGGTAAAAAAAAAAAAAAAAAAAAGGTTGGCAACCACTATATTAGACTGTCTTAGCAATGGCAGGTTTTCAGAAATCTGAAAGCAGATCTTGGGAAAGGTAGTGTTCTGACTTTTAACTCCAAGAATGTCCCAGCCATCAAGGCCTAATGGTCATATCTGGTGAGCTGTTGTCCAAAAGACTATATTTTCTGGACTAAAAGCAGGAGGATTCAAGACGAGGGGATCGTGAGTTTAATCGTGGATCAAATACGTGCGAGGAATGTTTAAATATGTGAGAGGAAGTCATAGGGAGGAGGGAGCAAGCTTGTTCTCTGCTTCCCTGGAGACTAGAACATGGAACAATGGCTTCAAACTACAAGAAAGGAGATTCCATCTGAACATGAGGAAGAACTTCCTGTGAGAGCCGTTCAGCAGTGGAACTCTCTGCCTCAGAGTGTGGTGGAGGCTCCTTCTTTGGAAGCTTTTAAACAGAGGCTGAATGGCCATCTATCAGGGATGCTTTGAATGCAATATTCCTGCTTCTTGGCAAGGGGTTGGACTGGATAGCCCATGAACTTTCTTCCAACTCTATGATTCTATGATTCTATGAAATACTACATCTGCTTCACAGCATATACATTACGCACAATTTAAGCCTGGTAAACAGGTTTGCCAAAGGACACAGCAAAGACACGTACCTGCAGACACATTTCCTGTGCTCCACAAAGGACAGCTCTACATACGGCATGGGCTTCTCTGAATTAATCTTCACAAGCTGAAAGAGTAAAACCTCAGTAACTCTCTGAACATGGCATCATCTCTTTCCTTGTACTTTTCTGCTCCTGCCATGTGCCTGGATTAAAGTGTTTTAGTGTGAAAGGTAGAAAATCTAAGGGGCAGCCCCTTCCCCAAGGTCTTCCTTCCTCCTTCCAACACACACCCTCTCATCCTCTTATCAAAATAAGAGCATTTCATATTTATTTCAGTAGTATTCACTCATAAACATTTCTGGCCATTTGTGCCTTATGGCTCAGATCTCTTTGTCTCCCATGACAAATGTTCAAGATCCAAACTAGGCCATATATTAAACCAACAGTGGGCATTATGAGGATCATGAGCTACCCCTTCTTGGATAACCCAAGAGTCCTTAAGTGGCTGAGGGGGCAAAGGAAAGGGCCTGAGGCTGTTAGGAATGGTGGGAGTTGAAGTCCAAAACACCTGGAGAGCCCAAGCTTGCCCAAGCTTGTTCTAGAAGAGGAGTCCTATGCTTGTTCATAGATTAAGGGGTCCTGGAGGGCAGGGATCATAAAAAGGACACCTGGAGAGATATAATTTGACTACCTTTAAGATAGAGAAGTGAGACAACTATTTCACAAAGAAACAACTGAGCCAAAGGTCGTTGGCCAAGGATTTCATGACAATCAGGACCATGGAGTACAACCTCCCACCTGCATGGTGACATTGGCTGTCTCCACTGGGACGCACTGGAGCCTCTCATCTTGGCAGCATCCACTGCAGCGGTGCAAAGGAACACAGGGAGGGCTGAACACGTGCTCAACTTCACTGGGGTACTCCGACACAACATTGACCAGCTTTTCCAAAGGCTGGCATAAGCTGCGATTCCACACATCATGGAAGGATACCACTAGATAGATACAAAAGCATAGCAGAAAAAGGATTAGAACATAGAAAGTGGGGGTATGGATGATGCCCTGTTTTTTCAGATAATGTTTTATATGTGTGTGTGTGTGTGTGTTTTGCAACAGTGCATATTTTAACTGGCAGTGGTTCTCAATTCTGGTCCAAGACATTTTGATGCTTGAGGGAGATTGCACTTCATCTCTCTGTTTTGCACTTGGAAGTTGACCATAGAACCATAGAATCATAGAGTTGGAAGAGACCTTGTGGGCCATCCAGTCCAACCCCCTGCCAAGAAGCAGGAAAATTGCATTCAAAGCACCCCCGACAGATGGCCACCCAACTGTGAATACACATCCCTTTCCACTATACTTCCGGGCAGCAAGCTAGCTTAGCAGTTGCAGGCACAGGCAGTATAGACAGAGCTTGGAAAAGTTACTTTTTTAAACTCCCTGAATTACCCAAGTAAAGTAGCCAAAGATAGGGCTTCCACACTGAAAAGTAGAGATTAATCTTTTTTTTTTTTTACGGCTGTGTAGAAGAGAGATTTTCAGCAGTTGCTGGTTACCTGATGCGTGACTAGCAACACCTGCTAAAATTCCCTTTCTCCACTACCATGAAAGGTACACAACTCTCCTTTCGTTTCCACTCTGGCAAGTCTTGCTAATGGTTGGGTGATTTCAGGACGTGCAGCCCAAAAAAGTCACTTTCGCAAGTAAGACCCTCATATCTTTGCCAGTTCTGGATTACTGAGCTAGCTGCATCTTTGTAGATGAGTGGAAAAGGTAAATTAGATGTGCTGTTAAATTAGAGAAACTTCCATTTGGATCTAATGGGATTTATTACCCTTTTCAGATGACTATTGCAATAAAAAGGGTTTTTTTTAAAAAAATATGAATTTTTATTTACATATATTAACAGCTAACAGTGTAAACAGAACACAAAACAATGAACATTTTACAAACACATAACTCCACCACCAAGGGGGTTAAGTCCATTCCCATTTGCTGCAATCCTTAGTAATTGTAATGTGAGGACCTCACACTTTTTAAAGGGTTTTATCACACTTGAGGCCTCCTGGTGGGGCAGCGAGTTAAACCGCTGAGCTGCTAAACTTGCTGACCGAAAGGTTGGCGGTTCAGATCTGGGGAGCGGGGTGAGCTCCCGCTGTTAGGCCCAGCTTCTGCCAACCTAGCAGTTCGAAAACATGCAAATGTGAGCAAATCAATAGGTACTGCTCCGGCAGGAAGGTAACGGCGCTCCATGCAGTAGTGTCGGCCACATGACCTTGGAGGTGTCTATGGACAATGCCAGCTCTTTGGCTTAGAAATTGAGATGAGCACCACCACCCAGAGTTGGATACGACCAGACTTAATGTCAGGGGAAACCTTTACCTTTTATCACACTTGACAGACAAATTGCAATAACAACAGAACAACTTCATCTTTTCCTTGGATTTGTCACACGACAATGATCCTTTCCCACTGCTCTACCAGTGGGACACCATTGGAAGGTGTTTGTTTCACAAAAGGAGGTCACTAGCAGATTGTTTGTGTTTGAAAAAAAAAAGGAGTGCCAATTGGAGGTAAAGACACTGTTGTCCTACTGAAATTGTGATATGCCTGCCTAGTTTAAATGCAAAGAGGCACCATGTCTACTTTGGCCCACTAAAATTTCAAGAGTGAATGAAAACATCTCTGTGTTTGGACCAACTAGCAACTCTGTGATGTCCAACAAAACAAAGGGAAAGAAAATATGAAGAACACTAAGTCACTTTCCTTCACATCTGTCTTTTTTGAAAAAGTTTGGGAATCATGTTATTCCCATCCAGTGTTGGATTGAAACTCCCACCTGCCCCAGCCAACAATGTCTTTCTCTTCTGCCCCTGAGAAGGAGTTGGAAAAGGAGAAGCCCAAAAAGGATGGGGCTAGGGATTCTGGGCAGTTAGTCAGGCCTGCTCGAGAGGAAAAAGGAGAGTGGCATGCTGGTTGTTACTACGTTTCAGGAACGCTGAAGGGAGGAACAAGCAAGGCAATCAGACCACTCCTTAGAGATACATGTGCTATGGGCTGAGGGCTATAAATCAGGAACAGAGGAAACAGCCATTGCTGGCAGCAACCAATCCATCTAGCCTTGATTCTGTATCTGTACCAGCCAGAAGCCCTGTCTTTGTGTTTGTTGCCTGGAGAAGACACTACCAAAGACTTTACTTTGCTCAGCCAAGAGACTTATCCCTTGCTTAGTGAACTTGCCTTTTGTGAAGGTGATTTTGCTACTTTAAACTATGCTGAAGTAAAGCTTTTTGAGTTCCTTCAAACTTGGCTTTAAGGATATTATTGGGGCAAAACTGGAAAGGAAGGATACCGAGATCTGCTATCCAATCAAGATCATCCACTTCTTAGTCCACACTTATATTCTAAGAGAGGAATGAGCATCACACTCACCTGCCGCCTCAGTGGTGCTGTTCTGAGGAATCTTGTCTTGCTTCTGCAGAGAGAGAGAGAAAAGAGGAGATGTTTTAATAAGAGGGGGGTAGAGTCTCCTTCCTCAAGAAGGCTCAGAGACTGCACGCTGTTCTCCAAGATCATTTACCTGCTTCCCACCCTAAACTTTAGGCTTAGAGTTGGCTTAAGTCTGAAACAAGTTGAAGACACACAACAACAACAATCCTAATTAACTTGATTATCCCATCAGCCAAAAGCAGGCCCACACTTCCTACTCAAATACTGGTAACTTTACATTGGTTAAAATTGTTCTTCATTTTAAATATTGTATTGTTCTTTTTTTTTTTTTTTTTGCACTACAAATAAGATATCTGAAGTGTGCATATGAATTGGTTCATGTTTTTTTCAAACTATTGTCTGGTCCCCCAACAGGCTGGAGGACCGTGAACCGGCCCTCTGCATAAAAAGTGTTGAGGACCCCTGGCCTAGTGGTTGTCCATTTCTAGATGAGAGTATAAAGTTCCCAATTAGAACAAATCAATATCAAACAAACTTTTGATCCAGTATATTTTATTAATATGACTGCACTCTTTAAATACCTAAAGAGCAGTCACAAAGATGAAAGTGCCGATTTATTATATGCTGCCTCATAGGGTAGAACTAGGTCTGATGGTTTTAGGTAACAGGAAGGCAGATTTCAATTCAACAGGGGAATTAATGTCTTCAGAGTGAGAGGGGTTCAGTAATGGGAAAAGTGATGGGGTCTTCTTCTGGGTGCATCTTCAAAAAAAGATTGGGCAGATTTTTTTCGTGTCAGGAGTGAATCGAGGAACTAAAAGTCACTTCTGGTATGAGAGAACTGGCCATCTGCAAGGACATTGCTGGGGACCCCCAGATGTTTTACCATCTTGTGAGAGGCTTCTCTCATGTCCCTGCATGGGAAGCTGGAGCTGACAGACAGGAGCTCACCCTGCTCCCCGGGTTTGAACCACCGACCCTTCGGTCAGCAGTCCTGCTGGCACAAGGGTTTAACCCATTGCAGCACCGGGGGCAGATACCAGATGGAGATGCTTCAGCTGGAGATCCTGTATGAAGAGGGTGTTGGACCTGATGACCTCTGGATCCCTTCCAATTCCATGATTCAATGATTTCTGAAATGAATCACTTCTTCAGAACCTCTGCTGTGGTTAATCTTTTTCCACTGGTCTTGTTTCCTTCCAATCCCTGTGGAACATTGAGTTAAGGACACTAGATGTCAGTCTAGTGCACAGCTTCCATTGAGCAACCTAAAGTCTCGTGGAGTCCAGCAGGCAATGAGGAAAGAGAACTGCCACATCTGAATGCTGGTGTTCCTGATGTTCTTGCTGATGCCAATCATAACCAGCAATAAATCAGTAACATTTTTAAAAAGCTATTATTTTATTCTGATGATACTAAAATCAGACAAAAGTTTAGTAAAATAAAATTTAAAAATATGAAGGAAAACACTTTTGCACCAGCTTCAAATTCTGAATTGTATTGTGTCCTGAGCAGTCCCACGTCTTATTCAAGCAGGACATGAATTGCATTTACATTCATTTTGACTAATTTATATATTTTTTAAAACTGGCTGTATCTTGGAATTAAAATTTGTAAGCATGCTCAATTTAACAGCAGTTGGCTGGATAAACAAAAATATGTTCTGCCCCACTGGAAGGATGCACAATAATCTGATGGGTGCATGCATATGGACAAAGAGATGTGCAGCCAATGTGGCAGACAAATGCACACAGACAGGAGTTCCTAAATATGACTCCATTTGCCAGCATATTACAATGCTTTATTTGCATGATCAAAGCTTGGGAAATTAACCTTTTTTGCATTGCTACTCTCAACGTTTTGGGTGAGTAATTCTGTAAACTGTAACACAATTTTTTCCAAGGCTCTGCACATCTTTGTACTCTGCAGGACAGTGATTTTTTTTTTCATCTGCAGCAGCATTCAGTTTGAGTTTGCTGCCCAATATTTCTACATTCAGCTAAACTCAACTAGATGACTGTGTTGAAGTATTTACTGTGTAAAACATCAACTCTTTGAAAGCATTATACTTTGAAATGCTTAAAAACATACCTATCTAAAATGACTTATAAAGATCTTCTGGGGAAGCCCTACTCTCAGCTCCGCCTCTGTCGCAAATGCACTTGGTGGGGACGAGGGACAGGGCCTTCTTGGTGGTGGCCCTCCGCCTGTGGAATTCATTATTGACGTCCCTCCTTTCCTTTAGAAAGAAGTTAAAAACATGGATGTGGGATCAGGCCTTTGGGTAATCTTGCTGACAATGACAGTGACAATGATGACAGACAGTCGCTATAGAAATGGACTATGGACATGCTTGATGGAGTCTCTAACAACAGAATTCAGCTCAGATAAGGCCACCAGGCTGTTATTGAAACAGAAACAGATTTTAGTTAATTAATGTGATTTAATGTTTAAAATGTATGTAATTATGTATTTTACTATGTGCACACTGGAGGCATCGAATTGTTGCCAGCTGGAAGCCTCCCTAACTCCCATCCTCCCCAGGGGTTAAGAAGGGTGGGGTATAAATATCTGAAATAAATAAATAAATAAATTTTTGCAAAATTTATTTATAAATTAATGAATGTAGGTAAAGTTTCTCCCCTGATATTAAGTCCAGTCGTGTCCAACTCTGGGGGTTGGTGCTCATCTCCATTTCTAAGTCAAAGAGCTGGCGTTGTCCGTAGACACCTCCAAGGTCATGTGGCCAGCATGACTGGATGGAGCACCGTTACCTTCCCACCAGAGCGATTCCTATTGATCTACTCACATTTGCATGTTTTTGAACTGCTAGGTTGACAGCATCTGGGGCTGACAGTGGAAGCTCACACCACTCTCCGGATTCGAACCTGCGACCTTTCAATCAACAAGTTTAGCAGCTCGGTGGTTTAACCCACTGTGCTACCCAATGAAATATGAGATATTAATTCAAAGATGTTGCATGAACTTTTGGAGTGGGTTATGGCAGCAGTACCACACAAATATACAGACAAGAATTAAGAAACATGTAGCATTTTTAATTTGTATGAATGGCTGTGAAATCTGAATAGTAAAGAAAGCTGATAAGAAGAGAAGCAGCTCATTTGAAATATGGTGCTGGAAGAGAGTTCTGCTGATACCCCGGACTGTCAATATGAGCTTATTGTCCTTTGAGAGAGAATGGCTCATTAGAAATGACAATATCACCTTGATAATGTGGAAGGCAGGAGGAGGAGACCACCCTCAGACAGACAGACTTGATCTCGGAGGTCATAGCTCTGCATCTGCCTCTCATTCAAAGGATCACTATCATCAGACCAATCATAGGTGATCCCACATGGACGAATATGATTGTCTTCCAGTAGTGGAGTCTTGGCAGTGGATCTGTAAGTAATTGTAGAGACCTATTCTGGATCTGCAAGGTCTTTCAGAATGAAGACATAGATTTACAAATGAAAACCAGTCCCAACAACGGTTTGCTTGATGTGCCTTCCTCTTGGCACATTTCTCTCTTTCGCCCTCCATTTGTGTCTCTTCAAATTCCACAGCACTGTTGGTAACAGCTGACCTCCAGTTAGAATCCTTGAGGGCCAGGGCTTCCCAGTTCCCAGTGTTTATTCCATATATATATATATATATATATATATATATATATATATAGGAGCCCCCGGTGGCGCAGTGGGTTAAAGCACTGAGCTGCTGAGCTTGTTGATCGAAAGGTCGCAGGTTCGATTCCGGGGAGCGGCGTGAGCTTCCGCTGTCAGCCCTAGCTTCTGCCAACCTAGCGTTTCGAAAACATGCAAATGTGAGTAGATCAATAGGTACCGCTCCGGCGGGAAGGTAACAGCACTCCATGCAGCCATGCCGGCCACATGACCTTGGAGGTGTCTACGGACAACACTGGCTCTCCGGCTTAGAAATGGAGATGAGCACCACAACCCAGAGTCAGACATAACTAGACTTAATGTCAGGGGACTACCTTTACCTATATATATATATATTGAGAGAGAGAGAGTTAGTTTTAAGCCCATCCTTAAATCTCTTTTGCTATCCACTGACATTCCATTTACCGCTCGTAAGTTGAGAGTAAAGTAACTGCTTTGGGAGACAGTGATCAGGCACTCAGACAACGTGACCAGTCTGGCAAAGTTGATGGCGGAGAATCATTACTTCGATGCTGGTAGTCTTTGCTTCTTCCAGAATGCTGACATTTGTCTGTGTCTTCCCAAGACATTTGTAGGATTTTCTGGAGGTAACACTTCCAGAAAATCATGTTCCATGTTTCGCAGGCATACAAGAGAGTTGGGAGGACAATAGCTTTGTAAACAAGCATCTTGGTATCACTACGAATATCCCGATTCTCCAAAACTCTCTACTTTATTCAAAGAAATTCTGCGCTCACCATAAATCAAAACCAACTTGACAGCAATTAACAAGAGATTAAGAAATAAATCCCGGCTTTAGGACCTCAAGTGTATGTTTAAATGGCTCATAATTTAATATTTTTATGGCTGTTTTTGTATTATGATTTGTTGTTATGTGCTGTTTTGGTTGCTATTATTACTATGTATATTTTATTTTTGTTGTAAGCTGCCCTGAGTCCCTATTGGCAGAGGGGCAGGATACAAATAAATATGATGATGATGATGATGGACTCAGAAAAAATTAATACTCTTTGTTTTAGATTCATAGACCTTTCCTTGTGCAGCCCATAAGGTATTCCCTTCTTTTTTCAATGCTGATCCTTTAAATCACAATCACTATCATGCCACAAATAAGTTTAGGCAAAAAGTCCCATTTATGAGGGACAGCAGAGCAAAGATAGAAGATAATGGGCTGATTCACACAGGGCTGTAGAGTCTATAGCCTTACTTAACTTGAACCACCCAAATGTTCTGGATTAGATTTTCCAGCATCCACAACTACACTTGTTTTAATTCAAAAGATCTGGAGACAAAGAACAACGCTCAAAAAACTGGGGAATTCCTGACATGAAACAATCAGGGCCAGCTAACACTACAAACTACAAGAAAGGAGATTCCATCTGCACATTAGGAAGAACTTCCTGACAGTGAGAGCTGTTCAGCAGTGGAACTCTCTGCCCTGGAGTGTGGTAGGGGCTCTTTCATTGGAAGCCTTTAAACAGAGGCTTAATGGCCTTCTGTCAGGGATGCTTTGAATGCAATATTCCTGCTTCTTGGCAGGGGGTTGGACTGGATGGCCCATAAGGTCTCTTCCAACTCTATGATTCTAACACCTCCCAACAAAGGATCCCCCAGGCAGGGAGCAGCCAGGCTTTGAAGCTGCAAAGCCATTAAATGCTAATCAAGGTGACCAATTGCAACAATCATATTTGCCTCAAGCAGACAAGAGTTCTTTCTCCCACCTTGGACATTCCACAGATATATAAACCTGGAACATGGTCATATAGCCCAGTAAACTCAAAGCAACCCAGATCTGGAGAATGTCAGGTGGGAAACAGTTGTGATAGGTTGCTGATGGGCAACTTCACATGTTCCTAGCTAGGACGACCATCTTACTCATCCAACGAGGGATCGCCTAAGCAAGCAAGCTAGGAGAATCTCCAGAATAACCAGCTATATTCCCATTGTTGATGGAGGAAACCAACACTGGAAAAGTCATTATAAAGACTGGGGGAGAACTGGAGAAGGGGTCTATATGCAGGTTGGACAGGGTATTCCAACCTTGAAAAGGTTACTTTTGGGACATTATCTCCTAGAATCCCCCAAACCAATATGGCTTCATAAATTCCCAAGTTCTGCTGTAATGACAGACCCAATCTCCAATATCATGACCACCAGAAAACAGCTTTGCACTGTCACAACTGGAGAAGCAGTTGATTCTGTCCAGGAAATCCCCATTCAAGAAAAGAGGAGCCTCCTGTGCTCATGCTTGGCAGCCATCCACAGCAAAGCTGCTTGTGAGGTGCGGGAATAGGCAAGCTCAGCACTCTCTACTTCCATTCCACTGCACTGAATTACTTCAGAGACCCCTTCATGTGCTGCTCTTGATCTCAATGGAGGGATTTCCTTAGTTTCCCCCTAGCGTTTCAGGAAGTTATATTAAAGATTGTTTTTGACACATGGCAGCCCTAAGGGAAAACTATTCAGAGGGATTTCTTAGAGACGGTTTTGCCTATCCCTGAGGTTGAGAGAATGAGACTTGCTCAAGGCTCTGCATGGCTGAGTAGGAATTCAGACCCTCCCAGAGTCCTAGCCCTGCTTTCAAACCACTACACCACACACACACTGGCTCACACTTTAGCAGATAACATGCAGAGTTTCCCAGCTAGTGCAGCCAGTGGCTGTAATGTCCAAAGGAGAGTATAACAGGAAATGGAGCCAACAGATCAACTGCTTCCAGTTCTGGTTTTCCACAGTCTAAAAGTCTATCTGCGTGTATCTGTGGCTTCCTCCCAGGCTCTAGTCTAGAACTACTCCCTTGTCCTCTTTCTGCCAAAAACTCTCTGCCCTGGAGTATGGTGGAGGCTCCTTCTTTGGAGGCTTTTAAGCAGAGGCTGGATGGCCATCTGTCGGGGGTGCTTTGAATGCAATTTTCCTGCTTCTTGACAGGGGGTTGGATTGGATGGCCCATGAGGTCTCTTCCAACTCTATGATTCTATTATTCTAAGACGCAAAAGCTTTTTTTTTCATTTAGGCAACTGACCTGATTTAAGGCAGAAGGGATTTCTAATGGGTTGGCTACTGTATTTTTTTTCTAATTGTGTATTGTGGAAACTGGGCGCAGGCTTATTTCCTGCTGTCCTAGAGACTAAGATTAGGAGCAATGGTCTCAAATCAGCTAATCATCTCTCAACAAAAGATTCCCCATGAACAAAATCTGGCAACCAGTATTAAAAAACTCCAAAATCAGGATAGTAAATAAAGAACAACACTCTAAAACAGGGGAACTCCAGACAAGCTAATCACCTCCCAACAAAGGGTTCCTCCATGAACAAAATCTAACAACCAGTATTTAAAAAAAGGAGATGCCACTTGAATATTAGGAAGAACTTCCTGACCGGACTGTACAAGCTGTCCAACAGTGGAACTCTCTGCCTCGGAGTGTGATGGAAGCTCCTTCCTTGGAGGCTATTCAATAGAGGCTGGATAGCTATTTGTTGGGGTTGCTTTGATTGCACTTTTCCTGAATGGCAGTGCGTTGGACTGGATGGCCCCACGTGGTCTCTTCCAATACTATGATACTAAGTCACAATCTCAGCTTCAGAGCAAGGCAAAAGCAAAGTCATAGAATCATAGAATCATAGTTGGAAGAGACCTTGTGGGTCATCCAGTCCAACCCCCTGATGAGAAACAGGGAAATTGCATTCAAAGCACCCCCAACAGATGGCCATCTAGCTTATGTTTAAAAAACCCCAAAGAAGGAGCCTCCACCACACTCCAGGGCAGAGAGTTCCACTGCTGAACAGCTCTCACAGTTAGGAAGTTCTTCCTAATGTACAGGTGGAATCTCCTTTCTTGTAGTTTGAAGCCATTGTTCAGCATCCTAGTCTCAGGGCAGCAGAAAACTAGTCTGCTCCCTCCTCCCTATGACTTCCCCTCACATATTCATACATGGCCCTCATCATGTCTCTTCTCAACCTTTTCGTTTTCAGGCTAAAAATGCCCAGCTCTTAAGCTGCTCCTCAAGGGCCTTGATCATTTGAGTCACCCTCCTCCAGACACATTCCAGCTTGTCAACATTTCCTTCGATTGCAGTCGCCAGAATTTTGGAGTCTTTTTTAATACTGGTAGCCGAATTTTGTTCATTTTAATGGTTTTTTCCTTTCTGTTGAAATTGTCCACATGCTTATGGATTTCAATGGCTTCTCTGTGTAGCCTGACATGGTGGTTGTTAGAGTGCGCCAGCATTTCTGTGTTCTCAAATAATATGCTGTGTCCAGGTTGGTTAATCAAGTGCTCTGCTATGGTTGACTCCTCTGGTTGAGTTAGTCTGCAGTGCCTTTCATGTTCCTTGATTCCTTTCCAAAAACACAGGGGAACTCCAGACAAGAAACTATAAGGGATAGCTAATAATCTCTCAACAAAAGATTCCCCCATGAACAAAATCTGGCAACCAGTATTTTAAAAAACTCCAAAATCAGGATAGTAAATAAAGAACAGCACTCTAAAACAGGGAAACTCCTGACAAGAGACTATAAGGGATAGCTAATCACCTCCCAACAAAGGATTCCCCCATGAACAAATTCTGGCAACCAGTATTTAAAAACTCCAAAATCAGGATAGTAAATAAAGAGCAACACTCTAAAACAGGGAAACTCCTGACAAGAAACTATAATCACCTCCCAACAAAGGATTCCCCCATGAACAAAATCTGACAACCAGTATTTTAAAATACTATAAAATTATAACAGTAAATAAAGAACAACATTCTAAAACAGGGGAATTGCAGACAAGAAACAATCAGGACCAGCCAATGGCCTCCCAACAAAGGATTCCCCCAAGCAGGAAGCAGTCAGACCTTGAAACTGCTAGGCCACTGAATGCTAACCAAGGCGGCCCATTGAAACATACTCACCTACCTCCAACAGACAAGAGTTTTTTCTCCCACCCGGGACATTCCACAGATATATAAACTCAATTTTCCAAGTTTCCAACAGACCCCCAACCTCTGAGGATGCCTGCCATAGATGCAGGCGAAACGTCAAGAGAAGATGCTTCTGGTCTGGAACATGGCCATTCAGCCCGAAAAACACACAACAACCCAGTGATTCCGGCTATGAAAGCCTTCAACAATACCTTGTCCATAATGTATATCTTTAACGAGGTCATAGATCCCCTTCTATGCCTTAGAACACGCGCGATGATGGCAGTCCTCCCACGCCATGCCCTAACGAAGACCCACAGACTTCTAATTTTAACACGGAAAAGCGGAGTGTGGAGTTCGCGACCGGTGTCTCACCCTCGGAGCCTTTTTGTAGATTCACTTCCAAGCCTAAGTGGACTTGGAGCCACGCGTGGGGGAAAAAGGGTCCCCGAAAGGGAGAAGGAGCTCTCCGAGGGGAGCCGAAGTTTCTTTGCGCCTCTTTTGCCCTCGATCTAGCCCCACTTGGGGATCCAGGACTAGATCCCAAGAAGCTCTCCTAGTCCTTACCTGGGCGCTGAGCACCTGCAGCAGGGCGAGGAAGAAGGCGCCCACAGGCAGAAGCATCGCCGCCGAGGAGAGAGCGAGAAGGAGGGAGAGGAGATGCCTTGGCCAGGTTTCCAACACCGCGGGGGCCTCTCCGGAGACCTCACATGCGGCTCCTGCACCGGAGCGGGCACAGAAATCCTGGGTGTCCAGACAACAACGAAAGTCGGGAGAGACTGCGAGACAGAGAGAGAGAGACGCGCCTCCAGGACGCCTCTGAGGCACCTCCTGCTGATGCTGGTCTGGCTGGGCTGCTCCTCCCGCCCTCCCTCCCTTCCCATCCCTCTCCCCGCCCTCCAGCCCCTCCCACCCCCACGTCCCCCGTGGGATGGCCCCCTCCCGCGCCTGGAAGGGGAGAGCTAGCGCTGGCCTTTGCGAATAGTGCTGATCACAGAACCCAAAGGGCTATCCAGGCTGACCCCTCCTACCCTGCACAGTCCACATCCAGGTTGACCACCTTCTGCCCTGCAGGGAAGCACAGTCCACATAGAACAGGAATGGGCAAACTTGGGCCTTCCAGGTGTTTTGGACGCCAACTCCCACCATTCCTAACAGTCAGACCCCTTCCTTTTTCCCCTCAGCCGCTTAAGAGGGGAATTCCAGACAAGAAACAATCAGAGACAGTTAATCGCCTCCCAAGAGGAGCCCCCAGTGGTGCAGTGGGTTAAACCCCTGTGCCGGCAGGACTGAAGACCAACAGGTTTCAGGTTTGAATCTGGGGAGAGGTGGATGAGCTCCCTTTGTCAGCTCCAGCTCCTCATGCGTGGACATGAGAGAAGCCTCCCACAAGGATGATAAAAACATCAAATCATCCGGGCGTCCCCTGGGCAACATCCTTGCAGACGGCCAATTCTCTCACACCAGAAGCGACCAGAAGCGACCAGAAGCGACTTGCAGTTTCTCAGGTCGCTCCTGACACGACCAAAAAAACCCCAAAAAACCTCCCAACAAAGGATTCCCCCAGGCAGTAAGAAGCCAAACCTTGAAACTGCTTGGCCATTCAATGCTAATCAAGGTGACCAATTGAAACATTCACACCTACCTCAAACAAGCAAATCATCATCATCATTATCACCATCATCATCATCATCTTTATTTCTACCCCGCCACCATCTCCCCAATGGGAACTCGGAGCGGCTTACATGGGGCCAAGCCCCAACATAATACAGCAATAAAATCAAACAAGAATTCTTTCTCCCACCCTGGACATTCCACAGATCTATAAACCCAATTTCATATTTTCCAACAGACCTCACAACCTCTGAGGGTGCCGACCATAGATGCAGGAGAAACATCAGGAGATAATTCTTCTGGAACATGGTCATACAACCAGGAAAACTTATAGCAACCCAGTGATTCCAGCCATGAATGTCTTCGACAATACATTTTTCCTCCAGGTGTGTTGGACTTTAACTCCCACCATTCCTAACAGCCTCAGGCCCTTTCCTTTCCCCCCTCAGCCGCTTGCCTGAAACCTAACACCTGAAACCTAACACCATCACTCCACTCAACCTGTGCTCCATTTGCAAGTCTGGAGATGCTTCCTCTCCCTCACATCTTAAGGCAGCAGGACCTAGATGGCTTGGCTTGAAGAACAACACCCTTCCCTTCCAGCTCACTGCCTAACATCTTGCCTTATGAAGCCAACAAAGTATAGTGGCCCTTGCTATCCACTGAGGTTTGATTCCAGTCCTTGATACCAAAATATGTGGATACCCAAGTCCCATTATATACAATGGTGCAGTAGTGTCCCTTATAGAAAATGACAAAAGCAAGGTTTGCTTTTTGGAATTTTGGTGGTGCAATATTTTCAAGTCTTAAATTGTTAATTCTGTGGATACAGAGGACTGGCAGTATAATACATTTTTACACTTAGTTTTGTATCCCTTTTTTGGGCAACTTAACAATACTATATATTGTTTGGGACTTTCATGGCCGGAATCTCTGAGTTGCTGGGAGTTTTCTAGGCTGTATGGCTATGTTCCAGAAGCATTCTCTCCTGATGTTTCAACCAAATCTATGACAGGCATCCTCAGAGGTTGTGAGGTCTGTTGGAAACTAGGCAAGTGGGGTTGATATATCTGTGAAATGTCCAGAGTGGGAGAAAGAACTCTAGTCTGTTTGAGGCAAGTGTGAATGTTGCAATTGGCCACCTTGATTAGCATTGAATGGCCTTGCAGCTTCAAAGCCTGCCTGCTTCCTGCCTAGTTTCCAACAGACCTCACAACCTCTGAGGATGTCTGCCATAGATGTGAGTGAAACATCAGGAGAGACTGTTTCTGGAACATGACCATACAGCCCAGAATACTCACAGCAACCCAATACTGTGGTAGTTTGCATTTTGGATTAGGACATTGTGTAGCTTCATAATTGCATGGTTACGCCTTTGTAACTCCCAAACAGGATTCCAGACATAATTTATTTACATTTTAACATATAATCCAGCTAATTTAGCATATTTAGTAAAATGAATCATTATACAGGACACTCATATATATTTCCTCGGGTTTAAAATAACTTGGGAAACTCTGTAGAGAAAAGTCTGGCTTAGTGTCTGATGATTGTCTGGGACCATATAGAAGCTCATTGAGTCTTATTCATGGAAGTCTATAATATTTTTACAACTCTCTCTCCTGTGACGTTTCCCCCCATTTGGTGTTTTTCTCTCATTTTCTACACCGCATTAAGATTAAGATCTCAGGTTCTCAGGAGTCAGCATAAACCTCAGGTTTGTTGCTCTTGGAAGTGCGCCTTGAAAGAGCATTTGTGTTGTATGTATATATTCATTCTTGCGAATCTTTTTTTATTGCAGCAGTCAGAGATGAAGCAAATCAGGATCAATATTTTATTGTCCCTTGTGCTGTAGAAATGGAGGTGTGGGGGTTGGTTCAAGAAAACATACACAAATGGGAGAGAATGAGTTTGCGACTTATCAAACTGTACAAGTCCGTTGTGGCTTGGAATTTTACCATTTTTTGGCCGTAGCCTGACATTCCACAAATTTCAAGTGTATGCCTGTGTTTGTCTCTCTGTGTGCTAAAAGCTCTCCGGAGTTGAAGATGGGCAATATGTTTGGTAGATTTTGTTTTCTCTCTCAAGAGCTGCCAAAGTAATGTTTCAGTTATAAATACGACTGAGCTGGATCAATGTGTTGTTTCTAAGTACGGATAACAATCTTTTTTTTTCTAGGTTGTGCTACCACAAGTTGCACGTGGAACATTATTTTCCTTAGCCTCCTCCCTGTTGAGTTCATTTTCCAAAACTGGGAAATTTAGGTGTGCGTGTTTTTTTTAACTTGTGGTTTTCACATGCATTCTGAAATAGCACAGATCACATGAAGTCCATACGAAGAAGCCTCCTGTAAGTTTGAAAGAATCAAGAAGTGTTCTTGAAGTAAATCGGAAGACAGGATTCCCTGCATCAAAATATGGATTTTGCAATCCATATGGCTCTATTTACTTATTTGAAAGGTTGGATTAGCACCTGAGCCACTTAATAGGTGTAGAAAATATAATTTATACCCTGATTTTTGCCCCTAAAATGGGCTTCTAAAACAACAAGTAGGGTTTGGGATATATCAACAGATCTGTAAACCAGGAAATCCCAAAGAAGAGGATCTTCCTCCAGGGGCAAACCAAGAATGGACAACTTGCAAGTCCCTGAACTGACTCAGAAGTGGAGTGGGCAGATCAAAAAAACAACTTGGTTAAATGGCACAACCTAGAAGAATCCTCCACTTTGTGTGACTGTGGAGCAGAACAAACAACTGTGCATCTGTATGCTTGCCCACAATATCCTGCCTCATGCAAAGAGGAAGAATTGCTTAAAGCTACAGACAATGCAGTCACTGTTGCCCGTTTTTGGTCTAAAATTATGTATCTGCTTGTGTTTCCTCTATTTTATCAGTTTTATACTTGTTCATTTATGTAATGCTTTTGGTACGAAAAAGGCCCTGTTGGCGCAGAGGGTTAAACTGCTAAGCTGTTGAACTTGCTGACTGAAAGGTTGGCGGTTTGAATCTGAGGGGTGGGGTGAGCTCCCGCTGTTAGCCCCAGCTTCTGCCAACCTAGCAGTTTGAAAACATGAAATTTGAGTAGATCAATAGGTACCGCGGGAAGGCATGGAGGTGTCCATGCAGTCATGCCGGCCACATGACCTTGGAGGTGTCTATGGATAACACCAGCTCTTCGGCTTACAAATGGAGATGAGCCCCCCCCCCCCAAAGTCGGACATGACTAGACTTAATCTCAAGGGGAAACCTTTACCTTTACTTTTGACATGAAATAAATAAAAACAGATCTGTAATTTTAATCTGATCCTAATTTGCATCAAACTTTATCAGTAAGTATGTAGCATTATGGCAGCATGGAAGCTACTCACCCTGCTGAGACTATTGTCTTTGGAAGCAGATAACATCTTTATGTACTTATGAGTATCATCAAAGGGGCATAACACACTATAGTTGAAATAAAAGGGTTTAACAGCAATCTTGTCAAATATACTGCCACCATTCTTTCTCCAACTCAGCCTTGGTCCAGACATTACAGAATATCCCTATGGCCTGAATGCAGGAGAGGCAAGCCCCTACTCACACTCTCTGTTTACTTCGAGTCCCAGGCTAGACACTGCGAACTATATTCAGCAGCAATAAGCCAAGCAGCTAGATGCTGGATTTAGAACCAGACTCTTCCCTTAGTAACACATACACACCCAGGCTATTTTTCTACCCACTGTTTACAATGGGTAGAAAAATAGAATACACACAGAAACAGTATGAATTATATTCCCTTAGCAGACAACAAGAAAAGCCCATTAGACTAACTCCACACAAATGCCAGGACCACAAACCTCCCAGAAAGAAGATCTCAGGTCCAGAATCAGAGAAGTGAAGTGAGGATGAGAACAAAGGGGTGAGATCAGGCACGGGCAAGCTTGGGCCCTCCTGGTGTTTTGGAATTCAACACCCACCATTCCTAACAGCCTCAGGCCCCTTCCTTTTCCCCCTCAGCCCCAAAACACCTGGAGGGCCCAAGTTTGCCCATGCCTGGATTAGAACAATTTTTAATAGCAGAACCCTATTGTAACCCACTTGGCTTCATTAACCCATCAGACATCATAAGGAGCTGGATATTTCATCTTAAGAGCATGATTTAAAGGCAAATATATTTTAAGGGAGGGTATATGTTTTTGGGCAACTAAAAGAACATTTCTGAAACTCTGCTGAATATATATGTTTGCCCATTTG